TGGGTGGGGTTGCGGCCAGGGGGTGCTGCCGGGCCGGAGGGGGGGGGGGGGGGCTGAATTTACCGTGTGGGTTTTGCCCCCCAGCCTTGGGCCTTGGGGTGGGGGGGGTTGTGTCACAAGTGCTCCCTTCCTCAGTTTCCTCCAAATAAGGTGTCAGACCCCTCCACATAGACTGGGGGTCACTGGGGGGGACGGGACTTGTGACCCCTCCCCCGGGCAGCCTGCTGCCAACGTGCAGGCAGTGGGGTGCTGGGGGGGTGTCTCTTAGCTGCCCCCTCCGTGCCCTCATTGGCCCTGTGCCTCCCCTCATTAACGAAGTCTCTGTCCTCCCTGATGGCTGCACTAATTACTGAGTTCATTAGTGGCCCAGCATGTCCGGCTGGGGGGCCCGCGGAGGGGGCGAGCCCTCTGGGGCTGGCGTGGGGTCCCCCACCCCTGTGCCACACCAGCAGGCTCAGCCCTGGGACGCGGCCACCGAGCAGAGAGCAGCCAGCCGGGTGTCACACCCCACCCAAAACTCCGTTCCACACCTCTGCCGGAGGCTCTGCACCCAGGTAAGGGTCCCACGGGGGATGCTGGTGTAGGGTGCAGGGGGTGGGAGCTGGGTGGCATGGTTAGGAGGGTTTGGGGGTTTGCAGGGCCAGGGGAGTGGAGGGCAGCAGTAGAGCCCATCTCCGTGGCATCAGGGCACCCCCTTGTTTGTGGCTGACACCCCCCTGGCCTGGTTCAGCCCATTGCCGTTACTTTGGGGATCCTTGGCGGGGGTGCAGGCAGGACTTGGGGCTCACTGCAGCCCAGGCCTGGCGCCAGGATGACGGCCGGGGTGCAGGATGCCTGTGGCACTCTTGGCCAGGGCTGCTGGCTCAGCAGGGCGGCCAAGATAAGGCTGCGGCAATCCTGCGGGGCTGGGGAAGAGATAAGAGCAGGACGGGGAGTCCAGGGGGCCTGCCTGCTGCTGCGAAACCCCCCCCCAGCTTTATGTACCCCTTGGTCGTCCCCCCAAAACAACCTTCGGGGCTGGGAGCCTCTGGGCAGGACTCCAGACCCCTCTCCTCTCTGCCAACATCCAAGGGCATCATCAGGTACCACCCCTTGGGGCTGGGGTTTGGGGGCACGGGACAGGGCACAAGGCTTAGCCATGCCACCGCTCTATGCCCTGCCCTGTGCCCCCAAACCCCAGCACCATGCCCCATCCCTGCGCTCCCTTCCCATCCCCAAGGCAGGGACCGCAGAGATCTCCGATGTGGGGAGGGCAAAGCCCATTGAGTGGTGAGCAGGGATCTGGCCTCCAGCTGGAGAGTGGCACAGCCTGGGGACAGTCCCACGGGCAGGGAGGTGATGTGCCAGGTAGGGGGTGGGACACAAGGACACGTGGGGTGGGAAGATGATGCTGCATTACTGGTGGCACCAAAAACCCCATCACCACGAGACTGGGCGAGCGGAGGGCGGCAGCATAGCCCAGCCCTGTGGCATCAGCCTGTTGCTGTCGCTTTGGGGAAACTTTTGGGGGGGGGGGCAGGCATCAAAAACCCCTCACCGTGGGCTCAGTGCCAAGGGCCAAGAGGGGAGCAGGCCTGGGAAGGGCAGCTGGTACTACAGCAGGGTGCCCACGGTTGCCCTGTGCTGTAATAGCACCTGGGGAGGGTGGGAGGGCAATCACCCCATCAGTAAGGGGGGGCTCTTCAGGTGCCGAGAAGCCTTGGAGGGCCGTGGGGACCTTGACTCCGGGCTGTTCCTGCCCTTTTATGGTGAACATAGGCTGGGACAGGAAGGGACAAAGGTCTCCTGGGTGCTGGCACCTGAGCACTTTGCCTAGGTACGCTCACCTGTGCCCAGCTCTGCAGGGAAGGTGAGGGGCTGGGGTGTGGGGCTGGAAGGCGGGCATGGTGGGGGACAGCACATCCTGCAGCCACCACCGCTCCTGGCACCAGGGTGGCCTGGGGACGGGGCTTGGGGATCCACCTGTGCCCCACCGCGGGGCTGCGCTGGAGGGATGTCACCCCCCTGGATCTGAGGGACGGGATTTGGGCGCTTTCAGGGCAGCGCAGCAGGACAAGGCAGCGTTTTGCGGGGCTGGGGGAGCAGAGACCTCTCTGCTGGGCACCGCTGGCTGCCTGACCTCCCCGCCTGCTTGCCGGCGAGCACTGCTAGCCTGGCAGAGATGGCTGTGGGCAACTTCTGCAACTCTGGGGCTGAGCCCTGGCAAGCTCGGCACCTCTGTGGGGCCAGGCTGAGCCCTCCCTGGGGGGCATGGATCTGGCGGTGGGGTTGGGAGTTGCGGGGGGGGGGGGGGGGAGCAGGCGGCGGTGGCGTGCACCCATGGACGTGTGTGCGTGCACATGCGTGTGTGTGCAAGGCCACCAACGGTGGCCATGCCATGCTGTGCCATGTCATGCCAAGCTGAGCTGGGAGCAGGCTGAGCAGGGCCAGTTCCTGCTGGCGCTGGGGAGGAGCAGGCCGCTGCGCAGCGGTGTCACCCAGCTGTTGCTGCTGGGCTGGGGATGCCCTGTACAGCCCTACCCTGTGCCCAAGCACAGGGCAGGACACCGGGGCGCTCGGGGGACCCTGCTCCTGCCCACTGCGGACCCTGGCATGGAGCTGTGACAGCCCCTGTTAGCCACAGTGCCAGCCAGGCTGAGGGGGACGGCGGCCCCGCTTGTGTGCCTGCAGCCCTGGCACGGGGGTGTCGGGGGGTCCCCTCACTCCGTGCAGCTCCGGATGGGGGTTTATGGCCCAGCCAGTAGCAGACAATGCAAGACAGCAGATGGCACGGCAGGCTGGCTCCGTCCCAGCTCTTAATGGCACTGCCTGTCATTAACGAGGGTGTTGCCGATGCCCCGGCAGGTCCCCTTGCCTGCAGCACCCGTCACCATGGTGGAGCTCAGTACCAAAGTCAGCAGGATGCTCAACAAGACCACGCCGGGCCTCCAGATATGGCGAATCGAGGTGGGGACGGGGGTACAGCCTGGGCACCCGTTACCTAGACACCCATCACCAGGCTGTTTGGGGGGGCTGTGGGAGGGAAGATCCCCCCTCCGTGTCCTCAGTGCCTGGGTTCGAGGGTCTCAGTGTGGCACCCAGGGTTAAACCCACCCAGATTTTGGGGCTGGGGGCAGTGGGGTGGGGGGGTCCCCAACATCTGACATCTCCCTTCCTTCTGCAGAACATGGAGATGGTGCCAGTGCCCACCAAAAGCTACGGCAACTTCTACGAGGGGGATTGCTACATCCTGCTGTCGGTAGGGCAGCCTGGGGTCCCGCGAGGGACTGGGGATGGGCTCTGCCCCAGGGTGGGCTGGGGTGCAGGGAGGGATGTCCCTGGCCAGAGTGGCCTGGGGAGGCAGGGGCTCTTGTAGCGGGCATTGGTGTCCTGCAGACACGCAAGACTGGGAGCAGCTTCAGCTACAACATCCACTACTGGCTGGGCAAGGAGTCGAGCCAGGATGAGCAGGGGGCAGCCGCCATCTACACCACCCAGATAGATGACCACCTGGGCACGGTGGCCGTGCAGCACCGTGAGGTCCAGGGCCACGAGAGCGAGACCTTCCGCGCCTACTTCAAGAAGGGACTCATGTATGTCAGTGACCCCGGGGACCCACCACCACAGTGGGTAATGGTGGGGAGGGGTCCTCTGCATGCCTGCCCTGGGGACGTCCCCAGTGGGGATGGGGACAGCCCTGTCCCAGTGGGGTGGGGGAGGCAGGAGGATCTGGAGCTGGTCTCACTCCATCCATCATCCACATGGGTGGGTGGGTGTCCCCAAACACCTCCCTGCCCACAGAGGCGGGAGGGGGAGCCCACTGGAGCAAGAAGCGGGGCTCAGGGCTGACGCTGTGTCTGTTGCCCCCAGCTATAAGAAGGGTGGGGTGGCCTCAGGCTTGAAGCACGTGGACACGAACACCTACAACGTCCAGCGCCTGCTGCACGTGAAGGGCAAGAAGAATGTGGTGGCAAGCGAGGTGAGTTATGGGATGTGGGGGGACCCTAGCCACCAACCTCTGTGTAGAGATGCTCTTTGGGGTCAGGATCAGGCCAGAGCCCCCCCCAGACATAGCTGCCCTCAAACAGGGGACAGAGCGGGTGTGGGGCCACGACACCTTGCCTCGGGAGCAACCTCAGCCCAAAAAGCCCTTCTTGGGATAAGGAGGAGGAATACTGGCTAGATGCATCAGCACTGAGCCAGGACAGGCAGGGGCTGTGGCTCCAGGAGGACCCAGGCGTCCTGCTGCTTGACTGTCCCCCCCCAATCCCATCGTGCTGCAGGTGGAGATGAGCTGGAAAAGCTTCAACCAGGGGGATGTGTTCCTGCTGGACCTGGGCCAGCTCATCATCCAGTGGAACGGCCCTGAGAGCAACCGAAACGAGAGGCTGAAGGTATGGCTGGGGGGTCCCAGGGTCCCTCCCTGGAGGAAGGGGGTGACTGGCCACTCCCTCCCAGTCTGGGCTGACCCCTTCTTCCCCGGGTGCAGGCGATGACCCTGGCCAAGGACATCCGGGACCGGGAGCGTGGGGGCCGTGCCAAGGTGGGCATAGTGGACGGTGAGGACGAGGGTGCCTCGCCAGGGCTCATGCAGGTCCTCACGCATGTGCTGGGTGAGAAGAGGGACATCAAGGCAGCCACACCTGATGACAAAGTGGACCAGAAGCTCAAGTCTTCCCTCAAGCTCTACCAGTGAGTTGCTGCGGATGGGTCGCCTGCGGGGGCATCTCGCAGGGTGCTGGAGGGACCCAGCACCCATCTCTGCTATGTCCCACAACTCCCGTCCCCATGGACAGCCACCAAGAGGGGTCAAGGCCACCACAGGGGTGGGGACAGGTCCTTTGGATGCCATTGAAGCAAGGGGTCCCTGGTGCCAATAGGGTTGGTACCTGATGGAGAGATGGTCATGGAAGCATGACCTCTGAATACAGTGGCAATGTCCCTGGGTGGCCCCATCACATCTGACACCCCTTTGTCCCTCCTCATGGCCATGGGTGAGCTACATGGCAGGGCAAGCTGCAAACAAGGTTGCCACCATGGCAGGGCAAGAGGGTCCCTGGGTATCACCTCTGCCATGATCAGGTTGAGAAAAGGGATGGGCAGGGGACACCCCCACCCAACCATGCCACCCCAAGATGTGGATGGGGAGGGGTTTTTCCAGCCCCATTTCTAACCCCTCCTCCTCTCTTTTCCTCTGCTAGCCTCTCCAATGCCAGCGGGAACCTGGTGATACAGGAGGTGGCGATTCGACCCCTGACTCAAGACATGCTCCTGCATGAGGTGTGTTACCCATGGGATGCTGGGGGGTGCCCAATTTCCTTGGCAGGGCCAAGATGGCAAGGTGGCAAAGCTCACCAAATCAGCTTTTGAAGGGTTAAAGCTGCCCAAAGTCCTAATTTCTGCTGTTGTCCCCCCTCCAAGGACTGCTACATCCTTGATCAAGGAGGTCTAAAGATCTTTGTGTGGAAGGGCAAGAAAGCCAACAAGGAGGAGAAGCAGCAGGCGATGAACAGGGCACTGGTGGGTGCTGGGTTAGGGAACAGTTATGGGATAGCCTGGCTGTTCCCTGGGGTGCTGGGCACCCCATGCCCACGCTCTGGGTCCGAATCTCCCAGGGCTTCATCAAAGCCAAGAACTACCCAGCCAGCACCAGCGTGGAGTTGGAGAATGATGGGTCTGAGTCGACCATCTTCAGGCAGCTCTTCCAAAAATGGACTGTCCCCAACCAGACCAGCGGGTTGGGCAAGACCCACACCATGGGCAAAGTGGGTGAGTGTCTGCTTCTGACACTGCAGGACTCCTTGGATTGGGATGGGAGGGCTGTGGGGACCTCCACGGCTGGCGTGATGTGGGTCAGCCCTCTGCTCTTCCCCTCAGCCAAGGTGGAGCAGGTGAAGTTTGATGCCACCACGCTGTACGCCAAGCCCCAGCTGGCTGCCCAGCAGAAGATGGTGGATGACGGATCCGGGGAGGTGGAGGTAGGCTGGCCAGGGTAGAATGTGAGACCCTTTCGGGGCACCCCCTGGGCTGTACTGGGGGATGTCATGGTGTGCAGGGGGATGCACTAGCATGCATGGGCAGCAGCATGTCCCTGTCCCACCAGGTCTGGCGTGTGGAGAACAAGGAGCTGGTGCCTGTGGAGAAGAGGTGGCTGGGCCATTTCTATGGTGGGGACTGCTATCTGGTGCTCTACACCTATTTCGTAGGGCCCAAGGTGAACCGCATCATCTACCTCTGGCAGGTGAGACCCCCAGGTTACTGACCACAGGTGGGGGACAGGGGCAGCTCTCCAGACTGGGGGTGCTCTGCTCCTATGCATGACCCCATGGGAACGGCATGAGGGTTCCCTCTTCCCAAGAGGGAAAAGGGGGCTGTGGTGGGTGCTGAGCCCCGCTCTGCCCTGCCCAGGGCCGCGAAGCCAGCGCAGATGAGCTGGCCGCCTCTGCCTACCAAGCCGTCATCCTGGACCAGAAGTACAACAATGAGCCCGTGCAGGTCCGCGTCACCATGGGCAAGGAGCCGGCCCACCTGATGGCCATTTTCAAGGGCAAGATGGTGGTGTATGCGGTGAGCACAGGGCTGCTGGGGGGTGGGGACTGGGCAGGCGGTTGAGCCTGTGGCACCAGTGGTGACCTCCTGTCCCCATTCCCCAGGGTGGCACCTCGCGGGCGGGCAGCAAGGAGCCCACACCCTCCACCCGCCTCTTCCACGTGCATGGCACCAATGAGTACAACACCAAGGCCATCGAGGTGCCCGTCCGAGCCTCCTCTCTCAACTCCAATGACGTCTTCGTGCTCAAGACCCCCAGCTGCTGCTACCTCTGGTATGGGAAGGTGGGTACCACCGGGCACCAGGGTGGGTGCTGCCACCCCCAGGAGAAATGTCCCCATCTCTTCTTCCTCCTTGGCTGGGGCTGGTGATGGAGCAGCTGTGCTTGCTCGGCAGGGCTGCAGTGGAGATGAGCGTGAGATGGGCAAGATGGTGGCCGACATCATCTCCAAGACAGAGAAGCCAGTGATCGCAGAGGGACAGGAGCCACCTGAGTTCTGGCTGGCCCTGGGGGGCAAGTCCCAGTATGCCAACAACAAGAGGTACCAGCCCTGTGCCCAGGGGTCCCTTGTCCCTACCCAGCCTTGGGGTTAAGATGGGCCACCAGTCCCCAAGCAGGGTGAGCCCCATTCCTACCATGACTGCTGCATTGTCCCCCACCAGGCTGCAGCAGGAGAACCCCTCCGTGTCCCCCCGACTCTTTGAGTGCTCCAACAAGACAGGCACCTTCATGGCCACAGAGATTGTAGACTTCACCCAGGACGACCTGGAGGAGGATGATGTTTACCTGCTGGACACCTGGGACCAGGTGAGCTGGGGGGGCACGAGGTAGGGGGACACCTTTGATCCCACAAGCTGATGTCCCTGGAGGGGGTGGATGACCTGCAGCAGCCAGAGGTGGTAGGGTGGAAGGCTGGAAACTCCCATGTTCCTGGCCCCACGTTGTTTTTTTCCAGCCCCCTTGCTCCAGGGCATGGCTGAGGATGGACTCCTGGTGCCAGTCCCTGTGGACAGATCCTGCGTGCCCCCAACCATGGGTTGGGCACAGCCCCAGAGGGCCCCATCTCACCCCCATGGTGGACACGGTGACCTCGTTGCAGGTTTTCTTCTGGATTGGGAAAGGCGCCAATGAGTCAGAGAAGGAGGCAGCGGCAGTGATGGTGCAGGAGTACCTGTGGAGCCACCCCAGCGGGCGCGACCTCGACACCCCTATCATCGTGGTGAAGCAGGGCCATGAGCCCCCCACTTTCACTGGCTGGTTCCCGGCCTGGGACCCTCTCAACTGGGCTGTGAGTCATAGAGGGGACTGGAAAGACCGGGGGGGCCCTTCGCAGATGGGACCAGATGTGGATCTGGCCCCAGCCAGCATCTCCAGGGTGCGGGCAGGGGTTTGCCTGCTCCCTGCCCATGTTGAGGGGCTGAGCACTTTTGTCTCCTTCCCAGGACAAGAAATCCTACGAGGTGCTGAGAGCTGAGCTGGGGGATGAGAGCAGCCTCGGGCATCTCACCTCAGTAAGTAGCACAGGGACAGGGGTCAGCCTGGGGTGGGAGGGGGCACAGAAAGCCCCTCCGTCCCCTTGGCAGGTGCCATCAAGCAGCTGCAAGGACACGTCCTCTGGTGAGGGGACACCTGGAACCAGCCTGTTGCCTCCTCCGTTCCTGGGGCAGCCCTTGATGTGACCCTGTCTCTCGCTCCCCCCGCCCCATCCAGGTGCTCACATCCAGGCAAGAGGTCTTCACCAGCACCACCAGCCTCCTCCCCAACAAACAGGAGACCTTCCCCCTGGATGTGCTGGTAAACACCTCAGCCGAGGACCTGCCGCGGGGTGTGGATCCCAGCAGGAAGGAGGTGAGACGAGGCTGGGAGGCTGCTGGGGGGGGTACCGGGGAAGCCTCCCCCGCTTTACCTCAGCCTCATCTCTCTTCCCCCAGTACTACCTCTCCGACCAGGACTTCGAGGCTGTTTTTGGCATGAGCCACTCCGCCTTCAGCAAGCTGCCCTTGTGGAAACAACAAAAGCTCAAGAAGGACAAAGGACTCTTCTAGGGCAGGAGCCTGGGCACAGGGACAACCCCAGCTTGTTATTTTTATTAAATAAAATGGATTTGGAGAGCGGGGCTGTGTGTTTCCCCCCAACCCCTGGGCTCAGCCCAGGTGTGGGGCTTATTTGGCAAAGAGATGGCACAGGGGGACAGAGGTCTTGACCAGGCACTGAGGCAGTGCAGGGAAGGACCCTCAGCTCCTTTTCCCTGGGTCCTTCCTTTGCCCCCCCGCCCCCGTGCTCAGAGGTGATGCACAAGCTGCCCCCACCTTGGGCACCCCTAGGGAGCCAGGGCTCCCCCATCCCACCCCAGCAGCTGCAGCTCAGGGCTAAAGGTCTGGTATACAGCTGGAGCCGCTCCCTCCGTTATCACATGAACCTCAGTAAATACGTGCAGTACCAAAGGTAAAAGCAACAAGGCACAGGCTGAGGGGATGGCCCCTGTGTGGGGACAGACACCAGGGATCACCTTGTCCTTGCCCTGGGAGGGGAGGAGGGCATCTTCTTCCTGCTTTGGATCTGTTGGGGACCCAGAGAGGGGCTGGGGGTCCCCCAGAGGGGTGCTCTCTGCACATGCTGTTCCTGGGCGACTGAGCAAAGTCCCAACAGCAAATGCAGGGTGGAGGTGCAGTACCCACCATCTGCAGCGTTCAGCAGGCAGCAGCCCAGACGGTGTGGAAATATGATTCCCAAACCAAGAGAGGGTTAATAAAGAGGTTTTAATTTCACAAAAATCTATCTACACATCATTTAAAAAGGGGCGGAGGGAACCCAAGAGCAAAAACTGTAAAGAATAGAGAGGAACAGGTCTGCTAAAACACAGAGAAAAGTGCTGCTCCACATCAACAGTTTAAAGAACCAGAAAGTTGGGGTGCAGGCAGAAACCTGCAGCAGCCACCCCACGGCAGGCAAGGCTGGAGTCCAGCAGCAGAGCTACATGGACAGCACCTGCCAGGGGTCCCGCACCCTTTTCTCTCTCTTTGGCGGGAAATTACAGGGATAATTAGCTCAATTAAAAGGAAAACAAAGCAGATGAGTTATTCCCAGCCCCCAACCCCACTAAGCACGGTGATCCCCACATGCCCCCGTGCCACGGTGAACCGCAGCAGGAAGCGCGGGGCTGGCCATCAGCCCTTCCTCAGGATGAGAAGGAAGATGCACGGGTGATGGTTATCCACGCTGCAGCGAGCAGGAGGTGGAAGGCAATGCAATGGCCCCAGGCGTTGGAGAGCCCCCGCTCCTCCTCCTGCTCAGCTCCTCGCATTGGTCTCAGCCTGCCGCTCCGGTGGGGAAACCAGTCCTTGCTTTGCAAAGGCTCTTTGTTCAGCCCCACTGGCGAGGGCTCCCCAGGGACCTGTGCACACAAGCTCCAGTTCATTGACACGAGCAGTTTTGCACCTCTCAGAGTAGGGGAGTAAATCAAGACCAAATTATCGCAGTCAAACAACGAAGGGGCGAGAGAAACGGCAAGATGGGAGTTCCTTGTGTTTATATGCTGAATCACACTTGGACTAAACTAGGTTGATTCAGGAGCGGGTAAATGTTTAACCACAACTCTGTACATCTGAGGAAGAGCTTGCACGTGCTCAGGGACTGCAGCTGAACTTCTCCACCTACCTATCCCCCAGGATGGGTAGCCCCACCTGGAAGGGACAACCTTACTGAACAGTGTGAGCATCGGGAACGTTACAGCTGGTGGGCAGCACGCCCCTCAGGGATTACACACCGTCTTCCCCCCGCTGCTCTTGGACAGGGAGAAAGCTGGCTTCTGCAAGGAAGGGGCTCTGCAGACACTCCTGCCAGAGTGAAGGTGCAACTGAGCTGCCGCATGCCAAACAAAAAAGCTTAAATTAATTAACAGATGTCTGCACATTCTTAATGGCTAGAATAATAAGCAAGAACTTTTCATAAAACAAGGAACGCTGGTTTCAAGCATCAGCTTTCGCACCTTGATCCAAACAAAAACTGGTTTTAAACAAAAATTACTGCACTGAAAAGTCAGGCAATGTTTGCTTTTATTATAAATTAACTGGAGTGCAGCGCCTTGCAAAAACAACCTTGCCACCCAGAAAAGCAGAGCTGACTTCTGATACTACAGGAATACCGGTTATTTACAGCACTAGCATAGGATGCGCTTGGGGAATACAAATTTGCCCTGTGGTTGGAGCAGTCCCTTCATCACATTCGCAGGGGCGATCAGTTCAAAGGACAACTCCCATGTCACCGCCTCTTCCCGCTACCCAGAATTCTACCAAAATTAGTATCGACAATAAAAAAGTATAATGCTTTGTAATAAATTAACATATACACCCACATGGGCTGCATCTTACAAGATAAATGCTCTATCATGTTTACAACCAAACGTTCACTCCTAGCCCAGAAACCAGAAAGATGTCACCCTGACCAGGTCCACTGGGCTCATCCGACACGTGGACTGGAAGGTCAGTCAGTCTTTTCACCACACTGGGGTCCCCAAAATACTTGGTTTGGGGAGGACTACCGATGACTGTGGCTCACTGATGCGCACAGAGGTGAGAAGAGGCCACTGAGGTATCATCCCCCTGCCAGCCTGCTAGGATAAACTCCAGTGTGGAAGTGCCCATGAAAGAGGTGCCTGCTGTCTCCTAAATCGGTGGTTTTGTCTGCTTTGCTTCAGCTGATTTATTCCTGAGAAACTCCTAACAATAGTTTAAAAAACCCAGAAACTATCTCGACAGCAAAAGAAGGTGGGTTTTTTTGGTTGTGTGTTTTTTTTTTTTTTTTAAACAAGTCTTTCACCTCTAAAACTCAAGCTGCAAAAATCATAACTAGAGGCCAAAACAAGAGCAACTACTCTGCTTAACAGCAACAATTTCTCCGAAATAAGTAAATGCCAGCAAAACAAAACATCTGCCCTTGCTAAGTAAGTGCGAGGGTGCTGAAAAAGTGAAGTCACTAGGCTTATCCCCCCCCTGCTGAAACAAGCTATAAAAGGAGCATCATGTCTCTAAATCCAATAAAATGCAACACTTCTTCCTAACCGTATTCTGTTAATGCTGAACATGGGCTTTCTGAAAGCTTTCCACCTGGTTTAAGTTTCACAGTTTGAGCACTCTGCACTCCTCAGAAAGGAGAACAGAGGCATAGCTGCAGTAAAAACCCTCTTACCCTCGGATACGAGAAGACCAAAGCAAGACCATGGTTCCATCAAAGAGCAATTCAACTGCCAAGGGCTACCCTGCAGACCCTGCCTTTTCCCACCGTTTCTGATTCACGATGACACAGGCCTGCGCACAAAGGGTAACGCCAGAACACTCTTTCCCTCACAGAAGATGCAAAGTGGCTGTTGCTCACCTCCTGCTACTGTTCTCAGTCTGCTCCAGGTGTTCACCTACCCCCAGAGTTACATCAAAGCAGCCCTAAGCAATATAACTTCAGTGCAAAATACTGCACACCAAAGAGAGACCTCTCCTCTCCAAATCGTACTTAGGCAACAACCTTATGAAGAAAATGCAGTCAAATAATAGAACTTGTAAAATGAAAGAAATCACGTATATAATCTCAGGTCTAAAGGAGGATGACAGTGAATGGTGTAAAAAAATGACAGAGCTGCCACCAGGTATGCAATACATTCCACAGCACCAACAGTTTGTTTCCTGGAACTGTATGTAAATAGCAGAGCGCTTACAAACCCATGAAATTCAAAATGCGTCAGCTTGAGTGACTCCAAAACGCCTGTTAGCGAGATGACTGGCAAGAGCGTACTCAGTGATCTGGGTTTCCAGTGAATATTACTAACACAACACACGCCAGGTTACAGAATCTATTGCTTAAATTGCTCTTGGAGAGGAAAAAAAAAAAAAAAAAGCCAAGTGATATGTAAATCTTCGCCACTCACGTCTCATAGGTGAGTGGGCTTTTAAGTTGAGTCTCTTTTTGCACTTTTTTTTTTTTATATCAGTTTATGAGCAGCTGTAGTCTTGTGGCTTGATGCAACTCTTTAAGGCTCCATGCTGACAAAATTATTTGAGGAACAATAAAAACTTCACCACAGGAGGATCGCTCTGGGATGTCAAGGTTTAAACGCGTGGTTCAGGCCCAGGACTTGCACAGATGGTTCAACAAACCAAGCGTCCTGTATTTCTACCTTTTGTCTCTTGTTTTGGCCCTGAGCTGTTTGTTACTCCTGTGTGTCTGGCACAAGTTCAGAATCTTCCTTGTTCCTCAGGAGGAACAAGGTGTTTTACTCTTCACAGAGGCTGACGAACCGATCTTCCTACTTCCATGCTAAGTGGCTGTGCATTTTTTTCTGTTTCTAGTAACTCATCGAAGATATCCCTAGGACAGAGGGAAAGACCAACAGTGAAACTTATGTACAACAACAAACCGCTACATAAGACAGCCCCGAGGGAATCAGCAACTGGATTTAATCCACAAACTCAAGTGTCACAGATCCTGGCAGAGAAAGGTGTCTTATCTGGCATCTCTAAGCAAGGCTCCTTGAATCCCACAGCACTTTTTTTTCATTCATTATTACAATGAGTAAGGTCAGTGGCAAGCCTCAAAGAACAGTAACAATAGTGAAAATAACTCCTGGCTGGTAAAAGGATCAGAAGCAACACAGGACACAGTCTGTAGATGAAGTAACATCCTTTATTATAGCAACCAGTAAAGAGAGAAGGGGACAAACTGAGGCACAAAACCCCTTCTTCAGTTCTGTGTGCCTGAAAAGGTATCACTTCTACCTACAAACCCCCTCTTGCCCGTGTCCTGAGATGACCACGGCTGCAACAACACAACCGCTAGGAGCAGGGATAAGGGCATTTACAGATATCACAGCACTTAAGGGAAAAACCCAAGCTCCTTTATGATTCCTCGTGCAACGAATGCATAGCTGAGACACTGAATCCTCTTCTTAAAAGATGATTTAATGCATCTTGTTAAAACCCTATGTATTAGTGACATACAATTCCATGCCTCTGAACTTGGAGCACTTCAGTTTTGTCGTTCTTGCATATAATTCTGATTACGCTTTCTTCTGACAAATACATGGAGATACTTTACATCCCAGCAAAGAGGACTAGAGGAAGAAGAGAAGCCCTCTTCCTCATAAACAGCAGGTTACTACTAGCAGCAAAATTCCCCAAGACACCTACTTGTGCATGTAGAAGAAGATGTAGCCGCTTCGGTCTCTGTCACACTGAACAGTGGCCTCTAGAGTTCTAGACACTTCCAGGTCATTGTAGGTGAACCAGGACTGCTTCTTGATATCATAGACATCACTGATGTAATGACCTTAAAAACACAGAACGCACCTTTCTTTTCATGCTGCAGTTCAACCAGTAAGCTGGTTAGCTAGATACCTCAGCCCACAGACCTATGTCAGATTTAAATGCTAAAAGACCCTTAAGATCCTGCTCCCTCCATCATTCCTGGTCAGTGAGCTGGTAACAAGCACAAGCAATTCCATGGACCCCACAAGCACTACGTCATCCACATGCTGAGTGTTAGGCACCATGACATCCTCAACCTGCTCCCCCACCAGCAAGCCATGATGGAAGACTTGCTTTGCTGCCTGAAATCTTCTGCAAATAATCCTTCTACGGTAATTCTGTATTACAGATTTTTTAAGCTAGATAAGAGATGAAGAATAAAATGTGGTATCTTTTACCTGAAGATGATGTGCTTCCGATATGGCTGACGATGCTGATGAGACGATAGGAGTGGGGAAGCTCTCCTGTCTGGGGGGGGGGGGGGGGGGAAGTTCAATTAAAGCTTTTAGGCATTCACTTTTGTCCCCCAAAAGGACAAGATGATTTATACCCGAGATACCAGCTTTAGCTACTGTATTCAAAGCTGCAACCCAGTCAAGGATTACAGAAACAGACACCCTGTTTCAGACCAAACAAGCAGTCCTTCCAGAAGTGGGAAAAAGCCTCCCATCTTATTTAATCTTTCAGCAAGCCAATGAACATGCAAAGGAGCCACTCTGACCTCACAACAGATGCTGACACGAGCTTTACACTGCAAAGTCTTCTAAACAACTATTTCCTGAGTGACTTCCACTGATGTCAGAATTAATCCACCAAATAAATATAGACAAGCAAAAAAGGGAACACCATGCTTACTTCTGAAATATCAAAGAAATACCCTTGATAATGGTACACAGGTTTAACAACTAATACTGCATATGTAGCCCAGATTCTCTTGTCATGCACCCGTAATGTCAGCACACAATGCCCTCTTTGCATGCAGGAAACATGCTCTGTCTATTCACTGACAATAAAACTAAATGGTGGTAACTGGCTTTTGACAATTATTTTTTAATCCTCTCTGACCAGGAGATGTTACTGATAAGATTCACTGACAACACTATTAAAAATGTAACTTGTGGTTTAAGGGTAAGGTAATTGGTAAAGAATTGTAAGAAAATAAAAACTGCTCAAAGAAACTCCAATTATTTAACCTTTTCCACTCTACACAGTACTCCTCCCACTGAGGCAAGCAGGCAACTTTCACAACACTGCTGTGTGGAGTCTGAGTGTGCCAGCGGCTGGCAGCACAGCCTAGGTTACAGTTATGTTTCACCTAATGGGAGTAAGATCTCGCCACAACTTCCCAGTTCTGGTGGTGCAGGATCTAGAAGCCTATGGCACTGCAATTAAACTACCACGCTGGCAGAAGTCCTCTCTCTCTGTAAGTAAGAATTTCAGGCTCATTGCTTTAAATGCACTGGAACATTTCTGGTATAAAATTACTGTTTCCTTTTCACCATTACCCACATCTTAGAGAAACTCAGAGGGTGTCTGCAGCTGTTTTGTTTTAGGTTTTTTTGAAATTAAAATAACACAATAGGACAGTCTCTTAAGGATAGAAATTTTCTATCTTTTCACTTTTGAACATAAAAGACCTTTCTAGACTCTGCACTTGCTTTGTAAAACTACCTCCAACACTAAACTGATGGTAAAGAAGGGTGTATTTCTCAGTTGGCTTTTGCAATCATAGATCACACCTCAGCATTTCTTTTCAGCTCTTCTGCTTCAGCTTCTGAATACTCCATGTCAAGAACATCCTCATTCCCAGAGTCTTCATCAGAACCAACGCTGTCCAGGAGAGAGCTGTTGAACTCTAGATAGCATGGAAACAATGATATGGTGTGAGAAGCCATGGCACACACAGGAATTCACAACAGGTTGAGGTGTATCTACCCACATAAACAAGCACAATAAAATGCTAATGTTTCAAGCTTCCTTTCCAAGGAAAGCAGGAGATACTGGAATTTCCAAATAAAAACTCTCTCCCTTCCCCAACTTGTCAGAGCAATAGTTAAGAAAAGTATCTTGGACTACAGAATTAATTTTAGCATCATCTCTCTCATACTTCTACAAAAGGGCACTATGGCAATGACAGCTGGGTGATAAAAAGAGCCTTTAAACCCCCAATTCGCTCCAGAGCACCAGTGGTCTGCAGCCAGAACTGACGTTAAAAGAAGTACAGCCAGTCTGGTCAGTGAACTGTAAGTTTCTGCAACAAGAAGCTATGAATTACAGTTTTAACTGTAAGTTGCATTAACAAAGTGCATTTTTCAATTAAAACTGGCATCAAAATGCTACTGCTGGCAGCAGGCATCTTTTCATTGTTTTCAACGGTAAGAAGGCTGCTCACTGCAGGAACTTCCAGTTTGCTTGGCTGAGCAAAATGCAGGCAGCTTTCTGTAAAGAGCCGGAAGGCACCACTGCTCCCTGTACACGCTGTTCCAAACTTCCTGGGATTCGGCAGCTACCCGACTAATTTAAGATTTTGTACAGTACTCATTAGGAGAAGTAGCTATGCTTTCACCAGCTAAATTAAAACTATGGAGTCCTGGGTGGATGAGAAGTTGAGATTAACAGGACACTGCTCAGGATTTTTTTTTTTTTCTTTTTTTAAAGAGACTATCATGCCAGTTATGATGGACATGTTTTGCCAAAGTGATTCTCACATTGCTTGCCCCGTTAAATCATCAGACGCTGGATTAGCATAATCTTCTCGGGAAGTTTATAGATGAATCCCTTTAACTGAGAATATTTTACTGCTGGTTTCCACACTTATTCAGGCTGTTGTAAGCTAGACTACAGCCAAGAAACACAGCCACGTAGATAGGTCTCTGCATGAAGCACTTGCCACAGGTATTGCTAAATGCCACTTCAACGGTCTCTGGATGACTAGTGGTTCTTTGATTGCAGCACCATTGGGAACCTTCCTAAGACAAATACTACCAGCTATATGTTCAAGATTATTAGCATCTCCTTGAATAAATGCTGGCTGATGCCTTACAAACGAGACAGTAGCAAGTTGAGAAGCACAAGGCAACGCTCATGTTTAAGTCAAGCAACTGCAAATCAGGAGGAGGAAAGCTTGCTAGCCTTGAATTCTTCCTGGACACAAGAATCAAGGAAGACCTGAGAGGGTCTGGGCAGTCAGTCTGCCAGAGCTCATCAGGGGACAGACCTCAGGCTGAAGGATGCTTAAGCAGCATTCAACTTACATCTCTTCAGAAGCAGACATAGGTTCATCCAGTAATAACCAAGGGCCTTTAAAGGTGCCTGAGCAACTACAAGTACCTTAACACAGTATTTCATTACCCCTCCCTCTCCCTCTTTGGAGCAGGAATTTTCTCTTGGTTATGCTTTGCTCTGCCAGATTGCATGAAATCACTCACATGCCAGCCTCACACAAATGTTAAACAGTGCCTGAGGCTCACCACACTGTCTGGATTTGGAGAAGACAGATAAGTGTATTTTGGGTTTCTTTTTTCACTGCCAACAGCTATACCTTGCAGTGAGGTCTGTCTCCCTCCTGTCCTCTATCAAACAGATACAACACTTACTCATTCTCCTGGGCAAGGCCAGTGCATTCATTAATCAGCACTAAAATATCAATGCAAGTAAGAAATAATCCTTATGCTCTGACTAGGGCAATTAGCGTGCTGGCTTCTGCTGGGAATGCAAAATTTCAAAGTCCATTTTTCTCTCTCTAAATTAATATTATACATTAAATATATATTATATATATTTAATATCATATATTACATATATCTGTCTATATATCTATATCTAATTAAAAATTCAAGAGACTGAAATAAGTAATTTTTCATATTAAGTTTTTCCTGGCATTTGCCTTCACAACCAAGAGCAAGAAAAGCTGACCTGAGCAAAGCCAAACACAACAAAGCACACACCAAAAGAACATGAAATGCCAGCTGTCTTACAGACACTCAGGAGCTGCACTCACACATACAGATCTATTTTCTCTCAAAAACAACATCCTGGAAGAAGTTAAATAAGTTTCACCTTGTAGACTTAATTCCGTGGCTCGTTTAAGGTCATCATCCTCTTTTTGTTCTCGTGCCTCCTAATGGGAAGAGAACAAAACTTAGCTCATTGAGACACTTTACTGTTTAAAATTCTTGTGGTGCTCTTTTTCCATTGAAACTGTGCTGCTCTGGTTTCTACAACAAACCTGACATTGTAAATTAAAGGTTCTGTGTGAAGGAATGTTTGCAACCAGCAAGAGTCCAATGTTCCCGTGAAACAGAACCTGGGACAAACCTTCATTAAGACTCGTCAAAGCTCCTGAAGTTTGGTATGCAGCAGAGCGAGTCTCTAGTAACACCGAACGCTTTCTCTGGATCATTAATTTGAAAAGCATCTGAATGAATTTGCAACCTTCGCTAAGGAAAGCTGTCACTTACACACAAAGCTCCTGACACTTCGACAAAATTTAGACTTACTTCTGCTCAAAGCCAGCTGAGGACAGAGTCGTTAAATCCTGACAGATTTTATTATTTTTAAGCCATTTGAAAGTAGAGCCAGTGGTTCTATGTCACAGGTGTAACTCACAAAGGCAGGATGCAAAAAGAGACACCACTAAAGAACCAGGTACTAAAAATATTGCAATGAGCAAGTAGCAAAGAAACCTCAAGTCAACAAACCCTTCTAATCTTTGAATAATATCATGCCCCTGTTCCTCCCACCACTCTTGAAAGCCCAGAGCTACAGCAAGCCAGTCAATAATATTTAATGAGCTGGCTTCTTAATTCAGGGTTTGAATGCTTTCAGTGCACCTGAACGCAGAACCCTAACTATGTATTTCAAATCAAGATAACCACAGCTACCACATTTCCATGCTTGAATCATTAGAATAGCAGATTTTCACTTCAGAACTGTAGCAGAACAATGCTCAAAGAGCAGTTTTACATTATTAGCATGAGGCCTTTTATCTCACTATTTCTAAAGCATTTGGGAATCTTTGTTAAACTACTCAACATCGCTGAATCAAAGCTACATCTGGCATGGAACATACCAACCAGCATCTCATAATGAGTAATGGGAGAGAAAAATCCAAGAGCCATGGAAACATCAGATCTCATAAGGAAAACCATGACAGCTTTAGTATTAATAGAGAGCAGACAAGGGCACCTATTTAAAGAAAGACCTGGCTAAGTACTTGATTCACTCTTGGCAGCTCGGTTAAACTTGTGGAAATCAGTTTACAGGTCTTGAAATTCAAGTGGAATACAGATGGTTAGCACATAACCCGAGATCCTAATTCTTTCCAAGTCTAATTTAAAGGACTTGTTTTAGACTAAATTATTTGGGATCCTTTTTCCAATTTACTAACAGGGAAGGATCACATAAATGCTCAGTTCCTACATTCTTCACTAAGCATCCCCTACTTGCTAGTACCAGAAACAAGGCACTGGGATAGACAGATCTTTAACCTGACCTGGCATGGCCGTTCTTAGTGTTTGCTTTGAAACCTGCCTCTTTCACTTTGAGTCTTGACATGGCATGCTTCAAGCAGCAACTGCCAGGGAAGCTAAAGGTGGGCTTGGATCTTGGTGACAGAGAGTAAGAGTTTAGTTCAGTTTATCATCGTTTTCATATCATGTTACAAGCCAGTGTATAAATGTGCAGGGAAAGCTTTGAGAAATCTGCAGGTCTGTGATGTGATATATGGTTTCCAAAGCACTTACAAAACGTGCCCAGATGTATCCAGAGCTGTCACTCTACTGACACTGGAGCTAAAAGAAACCCAAATCTTTTTTCATCTGATTCTCTCAAAAAAGCAGCAGAATCCCTTTGCAATTACTGCCTGAACACAAGCTTTTCCTTTAGCTATCAGGTTTCCAGTGCTGGGGAAGATAACCCAAGGAAGCAAACTTTATTTCTTACTTGCTCTTGAAGGCTTTGAGCCAGTGCCTGCTGAAGTTCTTGTTCTTCCCTCTCTCTCTCCATATCGTACTGCTGCAGCCAGTCAACCTCCCCCTGGGAGCCTTCCGGAGTTTTGTTTTCCTTATTCTCATCAAAATCTTTAGTTATCTCAGTGAAATTGGCAGGACCTGAGGAATCAGAAAGTACAGTTATGCTTTCCTGGGTCTTCTGTTACCAGCTAAATCCTCTTTAAATCCTTGCAGCACAGTGACATCTACTGACAGGGAGAGCTCACCAGCCATAAAAACCGCACACGAGTCAAATGGAAAAAGCTCCAAAACAGTCTTACGCTTATTTTAACAGGTGTAGGATGAACCATGTGATTAATCCCTGAACCTGTTCTCTTCTTAGCCTTTTATGTTCAGTCAGAAACAGCAACTTTAGTTAAAGTAAGATGTCACACCCCACTAGGTTTCTGCAGTCATGAATCTGACACTTGAATTTGTCTAGAAGGAACCATGGATTATAAAAATTTGCATTGCATATTGTACCTTGGAGTACTAAAGATGAAACCACAATTAAAGCCAAATCATATGTAAGACACAAGGAAGCATAAATCTCAAGCACTGTTTAAATCTGTCAACTTTTTGCATCAGGTAAGAGCCTCAATCCTGTGAACACTATCTACAGCTTTACAAGTGCAAGAAGGTTATAACTTTTCAGTTCACCTTGAAAGTGAACGCTATGGCAGAAGTATTTTATAAAACTTCTGGAATGAACATTCATTCAACCACTGCATACACCTCCTGCAGTTGCAGGACACTTTCATTCTCCCATTTGCTTGCAGCTGAGAAAGAATCAGAACCTGCTCCAACAGCTATCATGCAACAACACGTGAAACTTCATAGTTTTGCCCTATGCAGACTTCAACATCTGCTCATTAGTTATTAGCAAGGATTATACAAGGCACTCTCAGTATCTGTGACCTCTTAAACACAAGACCACCAGAACCAAAACTATAATCCATCAGTCTAATCCTCTTAAGATGAAAAACAAAACAGAATTTATTACATGACCTTTGAAAACTTCCAATGTAAGAAGAAATACTCACTTGACTCATGCTTGAGATTCATGTAGCAGAAAAGACATCTTCTGTCATATCTAAATTAGCCTTTTTTGAAAGCACCACAAATTATTCAGTGTTTACAAAAAAAATTACTAGCGGTAACAAGAAATGGACCAAGTTAAATCAGTCATATTTAGAATCATCTTGTCTGATATAGCTAAGCATCGTTTGCAATTAAGTTTCCTTTAAATAGAACATGGGATTGTGACTCATGGCATGTTACATTCAGCTGCCGTAACTGGTAACTTAACATACACACATACCTCATCTGAATGCCAATGCTTTGAGAAATACTTGTGGGTTTTGGTCATACACAGTCAAATACAGAAAGCTGAATGCAATGTTGAGTGTTAACTGCATTCTTAATGAAAAAATACAGAAACCTTTATTAAACACATACTTTTTGTTTAAGTGTCACAAGAGAGCCTTCAAATAATTACATTATACTTTCCAAATAAAACCTGGAGAGAGAGAGATATTTACATGGCCACACACTCACAACTCTCTTTCACACAACCATAAACAACATTAGTAGGGCACAAACAAGGCTGACCACAGACTTAGTTTTCTTATCCACTGCCTTCCAACATGAAAGCTCTCAAGAGTTGTCCATTGAAACAAGTGTGATTTTTGATAATAGAGTGAGGTTTTTTGTTGTTAATATTTAACTTCCTGGCTCTCAGAGGACAAGGCAGGCATATTGTTGGCCTGTTTTTCCAGGCTAGTGGAATTAAAAATCTGACTGAAAGCATATAGCACACAACAAACGATAAACACTTTCCTTCAGCCAGCTAAAGGAAGACACTCAATTTCTCCACACTGAGATCAAACAGGCTCCTTCTTGTACACAACTGTGTTTCTGGGTCAGAGGCCATAATTCACATGCTGAGTCTCTGATGCTCAAGGGTCTACTCTCACATTAAAAAGTATTAGAAAAAAATTACAGAGATAGTGTTAAATTTATTAGTAACTAGTGATAAAATAACTCCATTTAGGAAAGCATTCTAGTCTTAGGCACCCAAGACATCACTCTTGCACATCAGCAATGTGAACACTGCTACCATGCTGCCCAGGCTGCCACAGCTACAGAAATGAAAATACTTTCTGATTACGGAAGATTAAGTTCCAGACACTGCCAAATCTTAGTAAATTGAATTGTCTGGTACAGGAACCAGTGGAAGCATGTGTTAATCGTGAGAGAAAAAAAATGGAAATTAACTCTGAAGATGACCTTACCTTTATCAGAAAGGTGACAGACATACAAGAAAATACATTTTCACAGTTCAATGAATTAACACTTTATACACAGGGAAACTGTAAGAAAACTCTGAGGAAGTCAAGCAGTTTCAGCAGTGGACTTGCATCCAGATTCTGCCACCATACATTACTACCCTGCTACTATCAGTAACCTGCTTTAGCTTGCTATAGTCCAATTAAGATGGTAACTTTGCCTTACCTGAGTCTAATGCTGCTTTGGGTTTCTCCATCTCCATAGATTCCAGGTTTTCTGGCAATTCCTGAATTTCGTCGTCTCCAAAACCAGTGTCTGGGCTGCTTGTGGGCTTATCTTCATCATGGCTCAGAGACAGAGAAGCTTCCCTTTTGCTAATCTCTAAGACAGCTGCTAGCAGCTCATCTTCACTCATCCCATCAAAACCAGCATTTCCCAGCTCAGGTTTATCACCCTCCATTTTACTTCTTTTTGAACCCTACAGATGAATGGACTTATGATTAAGTGCTTGAATAAACAGGTATATAACATCAGCTTTACATTTCCGTGGAGATTTTTTTTTAATTATTATTTTATTAACCCAGGGAGTGGGAGCTTGGCTCTGTCAACATTAAACAGATAGTTATGTAAGACTCCATGGAGAGACAACCTTCATAGCTACATTCACTCCAAGGAATAATATTTAAATATAAACTACAACCAGTTTTTACAGGCCCTGTGGATTAACATACACAAAATAACTCTTCCCTTTTCCTTCCTTTCCTTCAACACGTGTTCCACCTTTAGATTCTGATGAATCCTCAAGCCTCTGGCAAGTCAGTGCTGAGGCACAAGTAGTGAAATTGCAAGTTTGTTAACAAAGGCTGAAGCAGCAACATGAGAGTAATTGAACTTGAACACAGGGATGGAAGAATAGGAACTGAAATCAGGCTGGTATGAAGAGCAATTAAAATTAGGTTTGGTGCTGCAGACTTGCCATATGAAATCTTGCGGGGGGCAGGGGGGAGGACTCTGCAAACCTAGTAAGAAAACAGTTAACCAGGGAAAGGGGGGAATTATTCTTTCCTAAGCAGAACAGAATGACTTTAAATTGGAAGAAAGGAAAACCACTTTACTCGTAAGCTGAATTTTTCCTTTTTTAGCTATTTTCCTAAAACTGACACTCATCAACTCCTACTCCATACTGACTTGCAACTAATATAATAATTTCAATCATTTTGATATCAACTGTTAACCAGGAGGTTAACCTCCATGTACACATATTTACACAATTACACTGCTTAGATTTTTTTCCCCCTGTATTATGTTAAAAATGGGGAAAAATAGTTTCTATCAGAACGTACTTACTCAGGTCTTATTCCAAACTGCATTTGGATAGATTTCAGAACTTCATTAAAATGATGAAAAATACATTTTTACTGCTGCTTTTTACTTAAATACAGCAACCTTTTGATGAGCAAGGCTAGTTTTATACGGCAAACATTTTGTATTAAAACTGGCTTATCAAACAAGATTAGCAAATGAATTAGCCAACTAAATTGCTTGCTCTAGACATCATGCCCTCCAAGAACTAGAACTGACAAATTTAAACCTGTCTCCTCACATCTATTCATGCACTGAATAAGGAAAGCAGAGTACCTGCTTTTTAAGCTTTCTGATTTCTCTCTCTACACCTGTAGGCTACTAATGTCAAAACTGGTTTAGCTCTTCAGCAAACCCTAGTGCCAGGCACTTTGCCAATAACTACCACTAATTCAGTGGCTGGACTTTAAAGACTTGGCAGCATCTGTGCATTATCTGAATACAACTTTTCTATTAGAAATTATTTGCATAGATTTTAAAGTAGCTTAGGCTCTAATACAGGCTGCTTTAAATAAGTATTTTTAAAAAGTACTTCAAATACTACTTCATCTGCAGAGGCAGAAATCACAGAAATTGCAGTTCTGCCCACTTTAGCTGGATAACTGCTATTTGCCCTGCCAACCCAATGTTGTATACCCCCACTGTTCCAGCTGTTCTCCCATATGGCAGGACTGTTTTGCAAGCAGTGCCCCACAGAGGATATACAGGCCATACAAAGTGACTACCAAGCCCCTAATGCAATCACATCCACAGCTGCTACGAGAAGCATACCAAGGGAAATGGTGCAGCAGCAGTAATGCCACTTCCAAGGACCAGGATCAGGTCCTCCCAGGACAACACTGAGAAGGGCAGCTGATCTTGTTAATGATCACAGATGGCTGGTCAGGCTGGTGGTTGAGGAGTGGCCATTGTGCACAGCCACAAAGAATAAAGTCACTTATGTGGAATCATCATCACCACTGTTTCTTTCCCACAACAGGCTGGAAAGCCTATAATTAATTTGCTATTCAAATTAATAGGCTTTATTCCCACAATTTCTGCACTCACAGGGCTTGTGTGATAGAGACTACCTACACTTCTTCACGAATAAAACTCAAGGAAGAATAATTTAGGACAGTCTGGAATACTTTTTCTATACATAAGAGGGACTTCAAAGACAAGCTAGTTTCCTTCCCCCACCCGCAGCCAGATATAGATGTGCCATGCAGGACAGTAGTTGCCTACCCTGTTCCTGAGACCTTCAGCAAAGGGTTTTCTGCTTTCTCCCAAAACAATCCATTCCATCCCTATACATCCTGAGCATCAGGAATTTTTCCCTAACATGTCACCTAAAAAAATCACTGTCTGCAATTTGGTCTATTACTTCTTGTTCTACCCACCACAGGCATGGAAAACAACTCAGGTGTTTCTATTGATTTCTTTCCCTTCCTTGAAGACACAAGCTCTGCTTATATTTCTCCTTAAACTAAAACTAAAAACCCCCAAGTTCACTCGCCTGCTCTTTCCGCAAAAATCTTCCTTTCTAAACCTCTGACCATTCATGTTCCTCTCCTCTGGCCCCTCTCCAATTAATGTATAACTCTTTTCAGTTCGGAGCCCAAAGCTGGATACAGAACTCCAGCTAGAGCTCAATGTTGAGGAAAAAAGGAGGGTTACTTCACACAACCTGCAGGCTATGCCTCTGTCTATACACTTCTGTTTTCAACCAGCCTGACCTCGTGACCAGCTGTCACCTTTCACGCCCTTTCTGAAGGCCCACTGCTTTCCCAGCTGTTCCCATCCTGCATTTACAGGCGATTAGTCCTGCTAAGATTAGCACCTTCAGCCTGTTCCTACTGAGCAACCCCTCCTATTTTTATGCAATTTCTCAGATTTGTCAAGATCATTCTTAACTGTAGTTCTGAGCTTCATCACACTGGCAGCCCTTTCCAGCTCTGGGTCTTCTGAGAATTTAATACTCATTATCTATTTTATCATTTATTAAATACTGTGTGGATCAGGTTCCTCCCTTGGTTTGATCTTCCCATCAGATCAGAAACTGTAGGTATCTTCCTCGTGTTACCTATTGCTGTTCAGCCAGCTTTACTCCTGTCCATAATCAAGACCACAAGTCCCTGCTTGATTAAAATAACCCCATGAACATTGTCAAAAACTTTAGAGAAGCAGAGATGCAGGACACTTGTCCTAAGCACTAGGCCTGCAACACTTAATAGAAGAAAGTAGTACTGCAATATAATCCTCTAAGCTTCTTGTTTTCCCTTCTGGGTCATCATTCCTTCCCACACAACTCATCTACTTGCTAATACACTGCCCTGATAGAGGCAAAAAATATCTTGGCAACATTAATACTAGTCACAATGAAGAGCTTGAAGGCAATTTGAAGTTAACTGTGCCTTTACACCAATGAACCTGATCTCTACACACTTCTATGTGTTCACCTCCAAAGACTGATAGCTTCAGTTTCTAAAAGCATTTAAAAAGCCACACTCAAAAGGGGACACAGATTGGATGTGCAAGAAGTTCTCTCAACTGAATATTTTGCCTAGATCAACTTGTACTGGATCTAATTTAATCAAGGTCTTTACTGCATAATTTTATTATTGACAGCCCATTATATTTCAGCTTGGGAACATTATTAGTGAAAGTCACCCAAAGGACTGACAAAACTGCTAAGCAGCTGGTATACATAACCTGAAAACTGAAGTGGAGTTGCAATGCAATTACCTCTGTTCACAGTGGGAACCCAAGACAACTATACAGAGAGGTCAATTAGCAAAGCACTCCCTTCCAGCATTGCAGTGCTAATTAGGAGAAAAAACTTATCTTACATCAGTTTTACTCACAGTCTATGCTAAGAAAAGCACAGGCCAGACACGAGCACATATAGGATCTCCGTATATGAAAGTTTGCAGGTTTTTTCCTTACCTTTTCCGGCTCTTCTTGCAGTTGCTGCTGATCTCTAGTCTGCACGTTACACAACCTTTGGCTATGGGCAACAGAGCGTTTCAATGGCTCATCATCACTGTCAGAATCTACATAGAGTGCTGCAGAGCTCTTTGACTTGAAAGTGTATTTTCTGTAAATTAAAAACATGGCTATAAAACTTCATAGCATTGTAGCATTGTACAAATCTGTTTCAAAGTAACTGTTAAAGAAATGTCACACCCAACTTTCATATTGTGGGGCAGTAAAATCTGGGGAACAAACTGCAACAATTGACAATGACAATTTATTAACATAGCAGGCAGGGTTTTCAGAAAAGGTGTATTTTACTAGGTTAACTGACATACCTACTTCAAGCCTGCAATAGCAGCTTACAACGTTAAAAGTTACTCAGTGTCTGGCTCTTGCTTCTAAGGCCAAGGATTCTGTACTTTATTACCTAGCAATCTTAGACAGTACTCATTTGAGTCGAGTCCACAGTAACATGTAGAACTCGGCACAAACCATTTGACTTCTGAAGTTAACTAAGCTGGACACAGGACTTCCAACATCATTACTAGGATATAAAAAGCACAAATCTGCACAAGTTTTCCAGTTTTCCTGTTTGCTCTTTCATCAAGATAAACTCTTGCTTCTTTAGAACAGAAGACAAGGGAGCCTGGGGGAGTTGTGATTTCTGCTCAATTAAGAAATCTGGTCTTTAAGGATTCCACAATGCAAAACTATCCAGTGTGATATCACATTTTTCACTGTAACAAAAACTGGCCTTTCGAAACAGCCCGTAAAAACAATGCTCTCTCATCTTTGCAAATAAAACCACCTGTTCCCAGAACACACGTTGGGACTCCATAGAACCAGAATAGAGAAAAGAGCTAGACTACAGAATTAGAAACCATTTTGTTTCTTCTATATGTGGCTTGCAACTACAAATGTAAGCTTGTTTAAGATATCTGGCATTGAGAAATCATCTGTACAAACTAAATGCAGTTCTCATTCTGATGCCCTGCCTTCTGTTTGAAACAAAATAATCTTTGCTTACTTACAAGTCTCCCAAGGCTCTCAAAAGAAATGCTAAGGTGATCACGTCAACTAGGCAAATCGTACCATTGATATTAATTTCAGCTAGCATATACAACCAATAAAACTCAGATATGAAAAAAAGACAGTAGCTGAAATAATTTACTACAATAGAAAAATAGAAAAATAGAAAGAAAAGAAAACAAATAGAAAAAGTGGAAAGATTAAAGAGGAAGAATTAGAAAATTTTAAAATGCCTCAAAAATTATCCCATGAAACCCCAGGCCACGGGCATTTCAGAGCTATAACTCACCTACAAGGTGTGGAAGTGCTTATAGTACAGGAATTCACCATTTGGGAGGCTTTCAATGGACGGGAACTATTAAAAAAGCAAAGTATTTATTGCAGCAGTTACAGTCTTTAAAAAAATAAGTGTTTACTTGTCTGCTATGCATGCAAATCCGTGACCAAAGAAACAAGCAGAATACCATTATGTACTTGCTAATTGTTTAGATGTAGAGTAGTAACTCCATCACGCTATAAATATACAACAGTTGTTCAAAACCATATATAATCCTTTAAACTTGATTCACTTCTTAGTGATGCACCCTTAGGGGCAAGCTCACAAATTAAAGGCTTTAGGCTCCCATGTCAAGACAACTCATTCCTTTATTTTTTATTCTCACCAACACTTGAGTTCCTGCTCCCAAACCACAGTCTCCTGCTGCTGTCTGGATCAGCCGGTTTTCTGGCATGTCCCACGTCTCCCTTTCTCCTCCTTTACCTAGAATCTTCTAAACAAACTTCCTGCTCCACTTAATCCTTTCATGGGCTCCTCAAAGTCCATCACTATCACTACACATCTGTCCACCAGATGGCTGCCAATGCAGAAATCTTTTCTAACCTTCCCCCTCAAACCAGGACTGCTTCTCTCCAGCTTAAGTTACCCTTCCACTCTCTGGTCAATCAGAATGCTTTCAATGACTAAAAAAAAGCCATTGGAAAGCTATTTCAAACATAAAAAGCCATTGGAAAGCTATCTCAAACATATTTTTTAGTATTTCTGCTCTGGTTAGCTTAAGCTGTTTGTTGTATTTAAGATTTCTGTTGTTAAAGCAAACTCTTGGGAAACACCCATGTAAATCTCAAACGCCACTAAACCTTCAGCACAAGAACACATGCCACACTGATGAACATATACACCAGATGTGTCCTAACTCACTACGGCTACCGTGGTTATGTCACTAGGCAGGGACCACAAGAGACCTGAGGGTTTCTTGTTCCCTATTCTGCCACAAACTTCCTATGTGACAAATGGCACGTTTAATCTCTGTGTCTCAGGACAAGCAGCTGTACAGAAATAACTGTCACAGGGAAAAGGAGAGACTATTTTCAGCATGTGAAGTGCTCAGATACTACAGTGGCACAGGAAAGACAATGAAAAATGAATGATAGCACAGGAGGTGCAAGTGGAAATTAGCAGAAAAAGGTAGGATGTTACGTGTCCTAAGCAGAGTTAAGTGTGCTGTGAAGGGAAAGGTAATCTAGGTTATTTTGGACTGAGAGGCATAAATTTTAGAAATTCCTGACAGAAGCTCTCTTAAGGATAGAAAGTTACTTACAAGAACAGTGAAGAATATAATCTTACCAAATATTCCCTAGATAATGCCTCACCAACTCTTCCTACTGCTGCTGTCATGCTTCCTTTCCATACATGTTCTCATGATGGCATCATTACAAAGCAGCAGTACACATCTGAAGCTGTGTAATTTTAATGTTTCCTTGCCCAGACATCTTCTGGAGGAGATCTGACAACTGCCTACCTTGTGGCATATGTGCTTAACACTGCATGGATCAATCACAAGTTGTACACTTACACTGCAGAATGGACACTCCATCCCAGCGTCAGTGGCAGCCTAGTGCTTTCTGTACAGTGTGAAAGCAGGGTTAAGTATCTTGGAATAACAACCTGCTGCCCAACTTTATGATTGAGAGACAATGCTACATTGAAGCTGTATCGTTTCAGATGAAGAATCAGGACCCTGAGAGATATGAGAGAAGGACAAATATTAATCTCAAGACAGAAGTCAGAAAACCTATTCAAAATCCAGGTAGCCCTGTTTACAAAATGCATTCACCCAACTCAAAAACGGATTACTACTTTGGGGTGGAAGGGGAACACTATCCACCTTTTATATGGCAAAAGACAGGTAATTACTCTCCTGTCCATCACTCAACTTTGTGCAAGGTGCAGAGTGCAGACTCTGCCAGCTCAAGAGGCTTGCTACTTTGATCTGCATCACCTTGCTCTTCAGTCAAGAAGGAAGCAGCTCTTACCAAACTCATTATTTCTGCTACACAGTGAGAGGTAGGAAGCAAACAAAATATTAATCATTATAGGCCAGAATGCTAGTATATTACTCCCAGATATTCATTCAAGACTGTGATGGAGGGATCACACAGCTGCCCAAAACTGAGGAAGAACGGTGCCCAGCGCAAGATGTGTACTTGGTTTATCTCACAACACTTTCTGTTTGCGAGAGCTTTTGATCACAACAGTATAAGAGCCTGAAAAGGCCTCCTTACACTGAATCTTCTCCCTTATGCTGCACTTTGTACTGTCTATTTAGATTATGCAGCTGTATCATCATTCACGTTGTGCTAATATTCAAAAACTTTGACAAGGGTTTTGCAGTGCTAGCATAAATAGACTAATTAAGCAAAATGCAAGCTAACTACCAAGTTACTGGGTTCAGTATGAGTATACTTGGGACAAGGACATAGGCCAGATAAAGTCCATCCAACAGACTCAATTTTAACAGGAGAAAATGATCCCTACCTCCAAGCACCTCCATTCTAAATAATGAACTAAACCCAACCACGAGGTCAGAAACTACTGAGCGTGCCATTAACACTCAAAGTGTCTGCCTTCTTCCTCAAAGTGCCATGCTTACCAAGACAGAAAACAGATATCAACATGGGAAGAATTAACTGATCAAAGCAAAACCCTCTATATACCTTCTGGCACTAATGTCTCCAACTCAGTCCTGCCTATCAGGCCAGCTGAGCACAAAATATTAAACTTCCAGAATGTATTTACTGTTTCCACTTCCCTCACATCCCAGAAACCCCAAGAAAAGGCAAAGGGGAAAACTCAGCTCTCCTTGTGTAGCAATAGGGAGGAAGAAAGAAGTTTTGCAGTGTGCCCAAGAGAGCTTCTTTAGAGGCAAACTGACGAACATCATGAAGAGTACTGTCTGCATGTGCATCTTTCTCACAGGCTGACCACTGCACATGCTGTCCCACCCATTTTCCCAGCTTTACCCTTCAAGGGACTTTTGCTTGCACTTTTGTGATGTGTGCTTCCATGAAAAAGAGGAACACATGTCAACATTTACCTGGGAAGCCTGTTGAACTTGTGTGTGACAACAGCAGACTTTCCATTGCACTTCTCACAGGAATACTCGATCTCCTCTGCCTGTTTAGGAGAACAGAAACATGACTAATGGAATAAAAGACCCATCAAGCAGATCTCAACAGAAAGCACATTGCTTCTGGCTGTCACGGAAGCTCTTCGAAACAGCAGTTACACTTAAAATTATAGTCACCTTTGACATGACCTAACCTTACAATCTGGCAACATATCCACTAATACAAGCAGAATTTTTCCTGCAAGTCTATTGCAGACCAGTGAATTAGCCACGGTTGAGACAAATTAGCTTCCAAAGAGGGGGGACGATCTTGCAAGGTTTACAGTTTTCTCTCCCATACACTGGCTTTTTTTTTTTCCTAATAACCTTTGGTGGAGGATAATTTGCCATGAAGTTTTCTCTCTAGTTCAAAACTACAACTTTGGTCCTGAAAAGCTATCCTCATCTAAACTTGTCAAGGATGTGCTGCACCAGAGTAGAGTTTTGAACAAACAGCAAAAAGGGAAGCATCACTGTGCTGAAATTACATGACTTAGCCATCAAACATTTCTACAGCCCTTTTCTTTAAGTGAGGCCAAATGACACCACTACAATTTTAACAATTTTTTAAATCCTAAGTATAAGACCTCCACCAGCTTTTAGAGGAATAAGCATGTCAATTATTCTATCTGTTGAAACCACTATCTGTAAATGGAGAAAAAACACAGGTCTGTCTCAAGATATGACAAAACACAACACTAATTCACAGATGTAAGGCTCATTTTTAGCTTTCAGAAACCTCACCTTGAACATCTACTTACAAGATGGGCATCCACGTATTACAACTATTTTTTTAATTACTATATCTGCATGACCTTTTTTCTCCATGCTAATTTAGGCCAGTACCTAAGCTGTTAAAGCATCCTAGCCCAAGAGAGGAAGCAGCAATTCTTGAGTGATGTATCTCAGTCTGACATCTTCCCTTCTCTCCTTTGTATTTGTTTATGCCTCAACTCATCCACCACAAAATGAGGAAGTTTACCTATTTCACAGTAGTATTGAAAGGATCAGTTAACTTCTGCACAGCATTTTACAATAAACACTCCTGTATGCTGTTAATGTACAAACCTCAAAAAAGTGCAAAGTTAATTATTTCATGTCTGCAATCATGGTCATAGAAACTAATAATTGGCTATACGACCAAAATTTCCATATGGTACATAACCTACACATACTCTCCAGTGAATACTCCCCCCCTCCCCCCCCAACTATGTACCCGAAAAAAGAGGTCAAGGGAATCCTGGATCGATCGGGAAGGAAGCAATTTCTTTCTTCGTGGAAGGTCAATGGAGAGGTCATTAAACTGTTCTCGTTTAGTGACTGTTTCACCACACCTAAAAAAGAAACACGCTTATTGTCCTGGTTTCAGCTGGGATAGAGTTAATTGTCTTCCTAGTAGCTGGTATAGTGCTATGTTTTGAGTTCAGTATGAGAAGAATGTTGATAACACTGATGTTTTCAGTTGTTGCTAAGTAATGTTTAGTCTAAAGTCAAGGATTTTTCAGCTTCTCATGCCCAGTCAGCGAGAAAGCTGGAGGAACACAAGAAGTTGGCACAGGACACAGCCAGGGCAGCCGACCCAAACTGGCCAACGGTGTATTCCATACCGTGGGACCTCATGCCTAGTATAGGAACTGGGGGGAGTGGGGATGGGGGGGAATGGCCACTCAGGGACTAGCTGGGCATCAATCGGCAGGGGGCGAGCAATTGTATTGTGCATCACTTGTATATTCCAATCCTTTTATTATCACTATTGTCATTTTATTAGTGTTATCGTTATCATTATTAGTTTCTTCTTTTCTGTTCTATTAAACCGTTCTCATCTCAACCCATGAGTTTTATTTCTTTTCCCGATTTTCTCCCCCATCCCACTGCATGGTGCTTAGTTGCTGGCTGGGGTTAAACAATGACACTTATGTAAGTCTGATGAAAACTATACTTGAAATTAATGACAACTTACACTTCTTAGGCTAAAGTAACTTCCCAGTAAATATATGCCTCTTAGTCAACCTATTTTTACTGATCAAAATGAAACTGATGCTTATGACAAAGTTGAATTTTGAGATCTCACTTTGATGCTTCAGAAGTTGAAAGAAACACTTGTGTAAGGGTGAGAGCAAAAAACCACAGTCTGCTTTGGAGAGGCAAGTGATCAGGTATAGGGGAAGTCAAAGTGACTGCTATGTAGCTGAACACATCTTCTTCATTCAGCATTCTTAGGAAAAAAGAAGTGAGCCCAGCCCAGTGCAGAAGAAGGGAAAGCCTAGAAATACTTTCAAACTGTTTTTAGAAACAAAATAGACTCCATCTTAAAAAAAACAAAACAAAACAAAACAAAAACCCTCAGTTTTCTTATGCTTTTTTTTGGGGGAGTGGGGAAGACCCTACCATCATTTGCCTTCAATAATTATTACTTGCATGCAATTTACTTTCATTTACTTTAGAGAACTAATGCAGTGCACACAGAGTAATATTCCCAAATAGCTGTGTTCAAAACTCTGTGGAATGCAAGCATCCTGTATGGGAATCTGCTGCACGGTTCATATGCAACAAATGCCCAGACATACTGGTTTACACCTTTTTCCGCAATAACCTAGAGAGACAGAAGAAAATGCCATTCCCTGGAAGCCCTTAGAAAGAACAAATTATAAACATGGCTCGCCCTTTTTTTTTTTTTTCCCAGAGGAACCATTACTTGGCTGAAACCCCGTTTCTCTCTACTCTTATAAAACCAGTACACAAAAAGCAGAGCACAGAGGCTTTCCACTGGATATGTAATGACGAACTAGATGGTATGAAACTGTTTAAAGGAGGCCTGTAGCAGCAGACAGCATGGTGTGAAGTTTACAGCATTTCTAGACCGTAGAATATTTTCTAAATATCTAGCTTTGAAAAAAAACATAGTTCTAATCATAGCCTGCAGATGAAGTCATGTAAGATAGAAACACTTCCCAGTCTTTTAAGCTAAGCACGAGAAAAGCTCTCAAGCATACTTACATTTTGCAAATGATAGAATGCTGAACCTCAAACTCTAAGTTACTGATAACTGGACACGTATAAACTTTGGTGGCTGAGAGGTCATCAGAAGCCCGTCCAGGTGAGTTATCTTCATTAGGGACTGGCTCACTTTTCCAAGTTTTGTTTAACTTTTCCATGTCTTCCTTCAGCTGATCCAGACACTGGCTCAAGAACTCATGTGCATCCTAGAAACGGAGTAAACTCTAAGTGATTTTGTACAACTTCATTCAGTATCTTTCTCTCAAACACACAGAGACTTGGGAAATTATGTTTTAGTTCATTGCATTCAGCAATATTAAGGCAGTTCTGCTCTAACAAACAGCAGGCAATCGTTGTCATTCAATCAGGACCTCAAGTCTCTGTCAAATAGAGTTGAAGCTTGACAGAAGTTCAGTGCAGTCCAAAGGCCGAACAAATTACACATAATTGTTTCGAGACAATATGGTACTTACATTCTGCATGTACCCAGAAAATCTCTCTGCAGTAGCTGAAATGGCACTTTTCACCTTCTTGAGCAGCTCTTTCTTAACCTCAGGGCTGCAGACATCCTTTTTAGCAAGCAGATGGGCAAAACGTCTGCAGAAGTCAATGCAATGAAACACTGATTGGCTTTCCAGGACTTTAGAGAAACAAAATAAAACTCATGATACCTCATTTTAAGAGTCTCTAAAAGCTTTTCTCCTGTGATAAGTGGTTTAGGGGTTCTGTATGAAAATATCTCATATATAATTAACCTTCTCCATTTCAAGTATTCTGAAATCTCATTTGAGGTCATCATTGGAACAGGACCCAAATGAACAAAAAAATTTCACAATCTTTTAAGGTAAAGAGAAGAGCTTTATAAAGTTCTATAAACTTATTTCTGCTATATCTTTTATGAGAAAAAAAAAACCACAATGCTTTTTGAAAATGTTCGTACTGATATGAGATGACATCACTTGGCACCAAAATAAGCAGCACAAAATCATTAAATTCAACTTGCATGGTCACACTGGTTTCTATTTTTTTTAAATTTTTTTTATTTTTAAATTTCCACTCAGTTTCAAGCCTTACTTCTGTTGTAATGTTTTACTGCCAAAAGAGTAGACAAAAGCTGTAATAAAAAGAGCCATGAAGAGTTCCTTGGTCCATGCTATGTATAGTGTTACTGGTAACTTTGTTAAAGAAACTGTTGAAATTGACTTTACCTGTGCCTCTCAGTTATTGTGATTTAGTTATCTTTTACAACTACTTTACTATTTCACAGGAAATACACACCCAGTATATTCTAAACACAACAGTTTTGGTCATAGTACATACATGGGAAGATGATGGGAAGACATCATGTTCCGTGATGCACAAAAAAAGACAGAAAGACAGGAAAGACCTGTGCAATCCCCTCCCACCCCAAACAATAACTAATACTCAGTTACCCAAAGAATCTGATCAGTTTACTGCAGCTCAACAAGTTTCTGCTATTCTGCTGAGCTACAGTAACAGTGTACGCTACCCTAACCCTCTACAACTGCTCAGGGAAGCATGTTAGGAAAAATGCCTTTTCCACCACAAAGCAGTTGATAGGCAATCACTTATCAACCAGAAAAATATTTGTCATGTTAGATCAAGTGCCAATACCCAAACCAATAGAAGCCAAAGTAGATGCTACTGAGTATCAAAGCTGACTTGTACTTAGGCACAGGATCACACACTGCCCTCCATCAGAGGTACTATGACACAAGCTCTACCCACACAATTTACCATTAGGTATATGGGCCACAAGCTGCAGAGGTCTTTCTACAAAAATTAGGGAAAGGACATTTCAAGACGCATGTGGAACAACCTCTGATCCCAAGTAGTGTAGGAAGAGTTCAAGAAGACAGAGCAAAAATAGAAATGACCCCAAAAGATATAAAACACTAAGAAATGGAAACAGAAATGGTCCTGATAATCCTGAATCTTGGTCAGCAAGAGAAAAGAAATGAGGTACACAAGAATATATATAATAAAAATCCCAAATGGCAGAGACTGCAGTACATGGAGCAAACAGCAGTTTGTCTGATAGACATACAATGGAATCTGAATGGCACAGGAATTTAAAATTTCAAAGAGAGAAGAGTTTTACATATTACAGAAACCTTTGGAGTTTCTTGACATGAAGTTTGACTGAACTGAGAGTTCAGCTGAATTTATAAAAATATTAAGTATGCAGAACTTGAACACTCTCCACAGCTACTAGACAAAGGATATTTTCCAAAAAAGCATAAGCCCTCACATATCAGGTGAAGTTAGTGGCCAGCTTAAACCCTAGCTGGTAATGTTTTAAAAAGAAGTTATTCTGCATCTATTTATTTTGCAGTTTCTTGCATTTTCTTCTGAAGCATTACACTCTGCCACTAGAAATACAGTGGAAGGTATAAAAGACTGCCTGTAACTCAGCATTGCAATTTTTAAGAGCCTACTTCCTATTTGTAAAGTAAAACTCCAAAATACAGAGAGAGCTCTAGGATTTATTTTATTATCTACACATGCAAATTACCCTCTACAAAGTATTACCCTCTGCTTCAGCATTACAAAACTAGTTTCTCAGTAACGAAAGAGAAAATATCCTTCCTAGAAAGTGAATTTTACCTGATAAGTGCATTGAGTGGAATTTTTTTCCATGGGATACCCTGCTTGAGCAAATCATTAGCAAAAGACTGAATTGAAAACAAGGACTGTAGAATGGCATTCATATAGCAGGTGTTTCCCAAGTTTGAAAATCTGGAAAAAAAGAAGATGGAACATGGTAGGTATGTCAACGTGTAAACATGCCAGTGTTAAACAGGGCACTACTAACATGTAGGACATTCACCCCAGTCACTCCCCACAGAGTTTCCTATTGGAGCTGTCCTCCTGCCCTCCAGACTAAACTGAGGTGGCATTAATCAGGAAAGCACCCAGGAGTTTCTACAATCAAAATTTAAAAAAATGCGTGTATATACACAAGATAGAGAAATAAATCATGAAAGTGTATGAAAGGAACATGAATTATCTGCAATTATTATATCTCTAAAATCCTCAGGAAGTGAATTTAAGAATACATATTTTCCAAACTAGGGAAAGTGTTCCCTGTCTCAGTGTTCATTAATTTCAGGACTTTTTTTTTTCCTTAAATAATTGTAACAAGAATGCGCGTGTTCTGATGATCAAAGTGTGCATACTAGATAAAGAAAATTAAGTTTACCCTTGTAATTGTTGTTGAGGATGGGTGGAAAGGGGCACTCGGGGTTTGTTCCACCCTGTATAATCTTGATTAGATCTCATTTTTTTAACAGAAAGAGGGGCAGGCTGAGAAAGAAATCCCAGGCTTCTTTTGGCTGAAGGAGTCTGGCTGGATACACTAGACCTAAAAACATAAAAGGATAAGAAGTGTAAGATTTCTAATGCTCTTCCTTAAATAGCTATAGTCCATGACACTGGAATTGTATTGTTATAGAAGACAAGGATTGGTAAAGCCACACAAGATAACTGGCATGTATCATAATGCAAAAGAGGTGTGAGAGAGAGAACTTTTCAGGGTGCTTAAATACTTTGGTTAGATTTCCTTACATCCACAGGTGTGCATGCAGTGTAACCAAGCCTTTTGTCTTTAAGATATTTAACAATTCCACACTGTATGATGAGGGGAAGAACAATCATGTAGCATGAGACCACCACTCCTAAGATATGCTCAAAATTAACATCTGGGCCAGAGTCTTCATTTTCAGCCTCTTGTTCTTGTAACCTAATCACTCTGGACCTCAGTAGTCCCTCATGTGTAAAGCATGGACAATGCCTCTTTTCTTCCTTGATCTTTTATCTCATGTATCTAGGGCAGAGACCAACAGTTTGATTGCACAGCGTCTAACACAGAAGAATCCCAACCTCAGCAGTATTCAGTATTACTAAAATGCTGTTACTAAAATATAGTTTCAAGCCATTTATCTACTTGGGGAAAATGAAGCAAGGATTCAGTCTAGAGTTCCAGAGTTTATATAGAATTAGAACCATCTAGAATTTAGATATCATCTGGATCAGTCATTCACAATGACTAAAACAGACTTGAGTGATTTTAAAAAGTCTATCTATAGCAAGCAGTAACTGGAGTTTGTAGATGTAACTAGAGCAATTGTAGCCACACTGAATACTTAGATTGTACTCCTGGGGTGTGTGGGGGAATCTATAGACACATTTCATGCATATAAGCTATATATCACACGATAAACACACAGGAAACTGAAGACCCTAATTCCTGGGAAAGAACCGTCATTTACAGTTCATGCTAGTGAATCAGTCCTACCTGTCCAGGGTGGAACTGCCAGTGGAGTACTCTTTTGATGAGGACCGACTACCATAAAAGGATGATGACTGCAGTGGTAAAATACCTTGAAAAACAGAAAGAAAGGCAGGTCATTTTGTTACAGGTAACTCAGCTATTTATACAATTGTCCTGGTTTCAGCTGGGATAGAGTTAATTTTCTTTCTAGTAGCTGGTATAGTGTTATGTTTTGGATTCAGTATGAGAAGAATGTTGATAACACTGATGTTTTCAGTTGTTGCCAAGTAATGTTTAGACTAAGTCAAGGATTTTTCAGCTTCTCATGCCCAGCCAGAAAGAAGGCTGGAGAGGCACAAGAAGTTGGGAGGGGACACAGCCAAGACAGCTGACCCAAACTGGCCAAAGGAATATTTCATACCATGTGATGTCATGCCTAGTTTATAAACTGGGGGGAGTTGGCCTGGGGGGACTGATTGGTGCTCAGGAACTAACTGGGCATCGGTTGGCGAGTGGTGAGCAATTGCATTTTGCATCACTTGTTTTGCATATTCCAATTCTTCTTGTTGTTATTATTTTATTATTGTTGTTATTATTTTCTTCCTTTCTGTCCTATTAAACCGTTCTTATCTCAACCCATGAGTTTTACTTCCCCCCTGCCGCCAATTCTCTCCCCCATCCCACTGGCTGCATGGGTGAGTGGCTGCATGGTGCTTAGCTGCTGGCTGGGGGGCTAAACCATGACAACAATACACAACTCGTTTAAAAGTATTTAGTCAAAATGTTTAAAAATCCTCAAATACTGTTTTCTAGAATTGGTTGGGAAAGTACTAACACACATACTTAGAAGTACTAATGCGAATATTAATCATACACAAATAAAGATATTCTGGAGTTTTAATTGAATTTAATACCACAATCTCCATCAAATCCAAACCACAATATAAAACATTAAAAAGTCATTGAATGGTCTTAACTATCTGAAAGATAATAAATACCCACCTCTTGTTCAAATATACAAGATACACATAACAGAAAACTCACTAATGATTTCCAATACAGTGCTCACAAAATTCAAGGTAAATATACAGAAGTGAAAACAGTTTCCCCTTCCACTCCAAAATTCCACAGTAAATTACTACAGGCTTGGGGCAAAACATGATTGTTCCATTGTTCTGATATCATTCTGTAAGATACTGAGACTCTAATGCCTCAGATGGTGGCACATAAAAAAATTCTCTCAAGAGTCTAAAAACCACCTATTACAGTGAATCACAGCATAATTTAGTTCGGATAATGAATAAACATTTGCTTCTATCCCAGCCTGAAGTGGTTTGAGCCATGCAACTTTCAAAAATGCAGATATATGAAGAAGGAAGATCACAATACTGTTACCTGAGCTTGCAGGTATACTCTCACAGATTCTGATTTTGACTCTAAAGAGCAAACCAATTTTCATTTAGAGATAAACATTTACCTTACTGGCTCATCCAGCAATACGTTTGTGCCATCAGAGCTGCACTAAAAAAAGAATGCATTCAGCAACATTCCCCATAAAAACAAGATCTTGAATGCATTCCCCTTTCTGGGGAAAGGGGCTCAGTATTTATTATAAAACTGAAGAACAGTGCTGCTTACTAGCTTACGTGCATACTGTCAATATATCTATATTGTCTATAAAACCTTGTCACACACCAGTATCCAACAGAACTTTGGTACAAACAGAAAAAGAGTCCTGGCCCCAAAGAGTTCCCCCTCTAAGTTCTAGAGAAGAGATAGGAAAGTAAAAGCAAATGGTACACATTTTCAGCACAAAACCCAGCCTACAATTCACATGGGCATTAACAGCAAAGGAGAGCTTTAAAAATAAACAAGAAAGCAAGCAAAAAGGAAATTTTTAGGTGTTTACAGGAATCCTCTCCCAAAGTGAAGGGCAGCTTGGAGCAAAGTTTGAAGCTGCCTGTTGAATTTTCAAACAAGCCAGCACATGGGCTGGCATCAGCAGCCAAGTATAAAGGTCAGGGTCACACTAGACCAGGACAGGCTTTGAAAACGAAGGCAAATTTTCCGCATCTCATATATGGCTCTGTAGGAAGCAAGAAAGTTAGCGGCACAGGGAAAGCAGATTAGGAAAACCACCTCTGCAGCAACTTTCTAAACTAATATCAAAGGATAAAATCGTAGTGGTCAAAGGCAGGTATCATTTGGCTTTACTTCTATTTTTTTACCTGATGTCCTATTTTCCTCTGCCTGCTTCAGATTCAACTGTTTCTCTCTGCTACTGTTCAAGTACTTCCATGCTGGATCACTCAAGGCTTTATTATTCCTACAGATAAAGAAGAGTGGAAGTTGGTGCAGTTATAGAAGATGCAGGACATTCCTGCTTGATATTTACAACTTGTTTTAAAGCATTTCTCTCCTGTCACCTTTAATACTTGACTATGGAACAGTTAAACTTTACTTGCAGGTAAGTTTAACCAATTCATTTAAACAACCTTCTGACTTATGATTAAATGCAATTTCAAACACACAGAGCTTATTCTTGAAACGGCAATTTCCCTTTAAGAATTTTTGTTTTGAAGGGGTCAAAGCAAGTTCAATAATGAAGGTACCTATTGCTATACATGTATAGCACATATGACAATCCTGACTAAACTGACAAAAGAAAGATGACACAAAGTTTGCATGTGCCAGTTCCTGCAAATCAACTGCTAGCACAGGTTGTATTTCCCTCATTAATCCTGAATGCAAACCCCATTTCAAGCACCCAGTGTGTTCAGAATTTGACAAGTGGCTAGCCTGTACCATGTTGCTGAGACAGGAAACACCCAAGCATTCTTTTCAGAAAAATTTACCTTTATGAATGAACGAAGAGTTTAAAATCAGAAACTAGAAACAATGGTTACTTACGTTGAAGAATCATTCTCTTTGGGATAGTCTTCACTCATTTCTGAACCAGGAGGTTGTGTTCTTTTCCTCTTTTCACTGATGACAGAAAATTTTTGAAGTGGTCATTCTTTCAGAAAGGCTAGTAAATGATCCTCTTCCAACTGAACAGAACTCCTCAATGCTTTCTGTGCATTTTGCACCTATCTTCCACAATCTCCACTTTTATAACATAGCATACAGAGAAGAATTTGGTCTGCCCAACTCTTAAGTTGTTCATAAAGCTCTAGTGCCAGTACCAGCCAGAGGCTAGAAAAGCACGTATTAACATCCTGTTAAAAGTAACAGCAAAACCAAAGGAAGAAACATATTCCCTTCTTACTTCTAGGTGTACTGAGTTCCACCTGCAGCTCTATAAAGAGCTATATTTTAACAATATCATAATAAGATGATAACACTCCTACCGATTCTCCAACAAGCCCGTTCTGTGAGGGACTGATGACGCAGGAGATGCTGAAATGTTCACCCTGCTGGTAGGTGTTCCAGTTCCAGCGGAATTTTTAACAGACGCTCTCGCTGGGGTACCCAGCACCTTGCGAAATGGATTTTCCTCCTTACTTTCCACAGTCACTCTTTTGGGAGGAGTCTGCAAAACCCAAGTGGTGGGGGCCAGTAAGACAACCGAAACCGTGAAAAACATGACCATCTTTAGTCTAATCTAGCATTTACAACACTGCTTTACTTGCTACAGTGTAGCATCCAAAAGCAGAAAAATGCTACTTAAAATAGATCAAGAGAGTTTAACCCTAATTAAACATAGGTAAAATTTTGATGCATGGATGCATCATAAACATGAAACTCTACTGCAGTAACCAATTTCCCTTCTCATCTTCCCATGCTAAGTCTGCTGAACTTTAGTTTTTAAAATCTCATTTACATGCTTTGACATTAAAAAACCCAAGGCATGATTCCTAACTATCCCCAGATCAATCCTGGGTGGTATTAAAAAAAAAAGAAAAAAAGAAGCTGTATTAAAAAACACACAATTAGAACAGTGCCCTGACAGCCTTGGGCCAAGCAAGCACCACATGTAATGCAATGGAAAGAGCTAATAGTTGGTTGACTAAGGAATGTTGGTCAATTTTAGACTTGAAAACTAAACATGTCTAATCTTACCACTGTATACACAGCTTTAGAGTTTTAACTGTGAGATTGCCTTTAAGCAACATGTAAAATTTGTTTTGGGACTTCAAAAATATTCTCCCTCAGGGCAGTAATACAAGTATATTCACAGAGATAAAGTAAATTAAAGACAGTAGATACAACATGAAATCTGTGTTATGTAGGGAGAAAAGGAAGAACAAAAATATTTTGAAGGAAAATCACTTTCAGTGAAAAGTCAGCAAAATTTACATAAAAATCTGAGCAGAATGCCACAAATTCAGTCACTTTATTCCAATACAAAACTGGGTCAGCAGCTTTTCAGTATATACATTTGGCTGAAGTCTGCTAAACTCATTAAGACCTATGCTGACTATAACATGTTCAGCTGCTACGTAAGGTGTTCAGTATAAACATAGAGATATTCAGAACTGTGTGAGAAACAAGTCTTAATCATGTACTTTCCCTCTATTTCTGCTTCTTCTCTGCCTGACTGATAGCTCAGCATGAAGAACATATTCTGTCTTCCACAGCCAGACACTGACCTCTCTTATTCATACAGAATATAGGGCTCCTCATGAGCAAGACACACCGTTGCCACCCACTCTGTATATACATCTATTCCAAGCCCTCTAGATTATAAAGACTTTGGATGCAAAGTAAGTATTTACAGTGCTATTACAACATACAATAAGAGAATGAGAGGAGAAAATCAATGAAATAGAACTGAAGGAAAGGGAAAATGTGAACAATTAAACAAACCTGGTTCTCTATATAAGAGAATTGCCTATTAGCTTCCTTCTGTGTGGTCCTGCTGCCCAGCACACCTCCAAAGCTGCCAGATCCCTGAGAGGGTTTCCCAGCTGACAGGAAAAGTACACAACATTTAATTTGATTGTCATTTAACTGATTGGCATTCTTATTTGTAAGATGTTATTTAGCTGAGTCGATTTTGGAAGGGACACACTAGATTTCTTTCAAACAGACAGTACAATATTCTGAGTGCACAGACATAAGCATATGTTTACGGATATCCCTTATATTGGTTGTTTATTCAGTTGGCAGTAAAGTCCCTACCCTTAAAAAGAACAAAATAAAATAAGAGGTAAAATTAAAAAAAAAAGAGACTGCGCCTATGTGATAGACAAGAGTTTTTTAAATACCAACATACTTACTACATAAACAACTCCTACATGTTTAATCTCTGCTTATTGTTCAGCATGACAAAGGTACATCATGAGAAAGGTAATGTAACAAAAATTGGGGTTGAGGGCCAGAAAGAAGCATTTACACAAATGCAAAGGAAGTCAGTAACACAATGAGGACAAAATGACTAAAGATGAAAAAAAGAAAACACAGCACCAACCCCTCTCCAAACTGCTATTAACATGATTTACAACAATTGCACTTACCAGTATGAACCCTGTCTTGATGGACTGCATCCAAATACATCCGCATTTCATTTGCATCTTTAAATGGCACCTTATCAATTGTCAGGAAGCTGGTATCCTTTAGTGTTAGCATCAGGCAGCACAGTTTTCTACCATTTGGTCGTAAGGTCACAGTTTTAATGTTATGGCTTAGCTGAAAACAAGAAAGTGACTATAAACATAAATCCATTTTTAAAAGGCCAAAATACTTACAAATTCAAACAAAACACTTCAAATGGAGAGGGTAAGAGGCACTTGCACTGAAATACTTCTTGCTCCATTTCAAGCAAACATTAAGCCTCATAGAATTAATGCGATTGGTGATCTTGGAAGCTGACAGAACTGAAAGGACAGTATCACTACAGCTCAACAGTCCCTATATTCCTGGATAAGCTTTCTAAAACCTGCTTTGCTATCAAGTGTGACCTTTTTGAACATTAAGCAATAAGAGCTTCATACAGTCCCATTTAGCTGTCTGAAACTTCCACATCAAGTTTGAAATATAATTTTAAATGGGGAAAGTTTTAAATGTTAAGTGCAAACTTCTACTCACTTTATAATTTCCTCTCAGGAAAGACGGGTTTGACATAGCTTAAAAAATTTGCTAAGGGAGTCAGTAAGAAATATGCTTAGTCCGTATGCAACATTGCAACAATTAAGTGGTGTCAAAACTTTCAGGGTTATGGCCAAGCACAAGAATAAAATAAGAAGTTGTGCTCCCTAATAATGCCACTGCTACTTTATTATACCATTACTTAATTGTTAATTCATGCTAAGTCACCTATAAGAACTGGCTGTTTAGTAAAGGCTCTACTATCCACACAGGTTGAGGGTAACTCCTAAAGCAGAGGAAGGAAAAGAATACTTCACATCTACAGACTGCATGGAAGTTTGACGATACATAGCTAAGCATAATCTCATTTTCAATTCCCTTGCCCTTTTTTGCTTAATTCTTTATTTTGCTGCCTCTTCTTTAGCTTTTTCTAAGATCAGGCACTAGCTACACAATGACCTCCATGCCAGTATATTGCTATACTCAAAGCTTCATACAAGATTGGAAACCACAGCCAAGGTCATTAGGCACTACACAAGACAGAGTAAAACACTGCCCATCAGATTGGAGTCTTCTCCTAATTTGGCCTGACCTGCATACTGCCACACTACCAATCTAAATAATGATGATGAAATAATAGACATGAACACTAATTACACTCTAGCACCCAAGTTTCACTATACATTGCTCTAGAACCTGTCTTGTCTCCTTCAAATTACACACAAGGTTAAAAATAAAAATTATTCCTGATTTTTATTTAAATTTGATCAGGTATATAAAAGACTGCAATAGTAAAACACACTCCATGTCCATCAGTGAGATTTCTTTTTTTTCCATGCAGATCTCTAGTTTCTTGGAAAGCCCATCTAGATACAATAGCAGTTTAAGAGAGGTGGGAAAACCACCTCTAGTCAGAAACTAAGGGTTTATTTTGCTGGGAAAATTACACTTCTGAAATACTTTGTGCTCAATCTTTGTGTTTTGGGGTTTTTTTTGGGGGGGTGGGGGTGGTTGTTTTGGTTTGTTTGGTTTTTTTTTTAAATATAAGCTAAAAATGTCTTCAAAGACCTAAGAATTTAAAAAAGGGCTCAATATTTTTCATCCTCTCTTAAAACACTGAACCCAGTGCAAAGGGATTACAGTTACTTCACCATCTCAGTGCAAAACAACCTTTTTCAACTCAAAATGCTATCATGAGAGGGCTACATCCATACTCTCCCCCTGCACCTGTTACGACCCAGTCAGCATCACAAAGTCTTGGGAGGTGGGGGTAAACAAATTATTTCTCTTAATACATATCTAGCATCTACGACAACTTGGTCAAAGCTCTGAAACATCAGTAAAACATACCATCTGACATAAGAAATTTGATGACACATCAGTCACTGTAGAAAGAAATATAACCCTGGATCCCTCCAAATGTTCCACTACAGAAAAGTAAAAAAAGGTGGAGAACCGACAGTTCTCCCACAACAACTTGGCAAAAAAAGGGAATGCTACTTCTAAAGCAAAATTATCAGGAATTTGTCACACCTGAAGCAGCACACAAGAGCACTGTGACAGACTGGGGCCAGCTCACACAAACTACATTCAAGCACAAGCCTGCAGTGCAAGGGGCAGGGAGCTCTCCCTGCCTGTTGCTCACTCCCACCAACGTTCTTGTGCCGATGTTGCTTCAAGATTAACAGGACCAGAAAGCAGATCCTGCTGAAAAATAACCACCATCCAAACAAAAATAATTGGTCTAAAGATGTGGCATTTCCTCCTCCTCCCTTGATGCTGTCCCAGCTGCATGGTGCCGCATCACCCCCTCCACGAGACCTCATGTTCAGTCCTTTCCCCAAAGTAATTAATGTAAAAAACCTCCACTGAGCTCACAGAGAGATCTGACAGGTGCCAGAGCCAGCAGGTGGGAGAGGCTGGGAGCAAAACCTGCCCCTTTAGGCCGTGGTTAGCTGATCTATAGGCTCATCCTCCCCATGGAGCCACCTTTCGAGTCAGTGTCACACCACGTTAACACTCATCCAGGCAGAAAGGAGCGCGTGAGAACGAGCACCCAGGGAAGGTATGAGGAGAAGAAGAGACCACTCTTCTCAGAAGCAACATGGTCCAACGCTGGATTAAATCAAACATGCAGACACAGCATTGCGCACAAGAAAGCAGATGATTCTTTTCAAGTCTACAGTAACAGAGGTAGGAACTATCCACAGCGAATGATTTTCTTGTGCCTCTATCCCAAGGCAACACAGGCTGCCAGATTCTTTCCTAAGACTTTTGAGTGCACTAAGGCAGCAAAAGCTGATCTTTCAAAAATAAAGTGAACTTTTTTCACCAAGTCTGGACGCAGAAATAAATGGCTCAGAGAAAGGTCTAGTGAACACTACTGATGAAAAACAACTGTGGCAGGAAAAAGCAGAAGCCAACATTTAGCTCAGTTTAGGCCGTTACAAAGTTGCTAAATAAGATCGGAATTTTTTTTTTCTTCCAACTACTCTTATACCCTCTACATGTTTTTAAATCAGATAGAAATTTCTTATAGAAAAAAACTCCTTAGCATTCTTTCGATTTGGGGCATTTTGCACAAAAAAACTAGGAAGAATGAGCAGAAAACAACTACAGAATGAAAAAAAAGGCAATTTAGGCTGAATATTGCAAGAGAATCTTTATCAGCAATCTGTATCAGCCTCCCAGTGAGGAAACCACATTGCCTGGCATATTTAAAACCTAGAAGTGTAACAATTGCTGTACAGCAGAGTCTTGTATAAACAAGCAAAAGGCTACAAGTGTGTTAACACCCTTACTCTTCAGCTGGGAAAACTGCTAGTACAAAGCGTTCAGATCTTCACCTCTAGATTCCGCAAATGTACCGATAACAGAAAGGTTACAGTTCCAAAAATCTGAACATGTGAGCCTTGATGCTATATACTTTGGTAACTTTTCTCTGCTTTTTAGTTCTTCCCATTCAGTGGTATCTCAATGCCGGCTTTGGCAGATCCTTTAACAATACACGTGAATAATTTACAAGAGATTTATACAAAGGGATTAGTGTTCAGGAAACGAGGAACAAGAAACAGTGACAGAGGGAAGTTTGTGTGACACTTAATAGCCTTGAAGAGGACAGCTGTTCACAAAAGAGCACAATCCATGCACTGCTCAAACAAAAGCCTTAATATTTGGTATACCTGAAATGTCTTTGGAATTCCTCCAACATTGTAGTGAACCACTAGACTCACTTTGTTGTCCTTCTCCACAATTTCAAAGCTCCCTTCTTTCCATTTTGTAATCCCAGTCTGCATGCTGCGCATCCTCACAGGTCCGTGCACCTTTAGCGGAGCCATGCTTTCTCACAGAAGAGAGCTAACAGGACTAAGCGTACTCCGCCTTAAAAACCTGTTAAAAAGGAGAAAGTTGTTATAACTAGGCAGGCCAAATAATCTCTACGGAAAGATGTAAGTGTGACTTAAAAGTTTCTGTAGAAGTTCAGTAGAACTGTTTTGCTGGTACTTTTATACGCAGTGAAGGAGAGGTAGACACAAGTGAAGGAAACTTAGATTAATCAAATCTCTCCCAGATCAGGCAGCAACGAGCTGTTTCCTCACTGTTGAAAGGCAAGCAGACCCAATCCAGACACAGAAGTTCTTGCAAATCCTTGCAGCAACTTCAAGGGATTTGAGGAAAGAAAAAATAAGTGCCTGAGGAAAGCCGGTAAGAGACGGAAACCAAAGTTGCGGAGGAAGCCTAAGAGGCAAAACGAGCTCGTTTCTGACGGGACGGGAGCCGCGGTCACCTGGCGGGGCCCGGCCGGGGGTCCCCGGGGCGGCGGGGCCCTCGTGCGCTCCCGGCTCCCCCCCCCTCCAGCCAGCACTCCGCCCGGGAAAGCCACCGGCCCAACGCTACGAGAAACAGCCCCCGCACCGCCGCGGGCTCCCGGTCAGCACGGCGGGGCGTATCGTAAATAAAAAACGAGAAGAAATGAATGAAGCGGCCCCTGCGCGCAGCCCGGGAGCCGCCGCCGAGGAGGAGGGTCCGTCCCCCCCCGGCAGCCCGCGCTCAGGCGCCGCCGC